TATTATAATATAATAAATTTTTTTTATTCCTAATCACCACGCATTTCTGTTCAACGAATTCTCTTCTTCGAATCCTTGTATTGATATGGCCTATCAAATTCCGTTGCTTCAAGATCATAGGGGGTGCTTTTTTTTAAGATATTCAAACGACTAAAGCTCCCTACTATTCTCTCAATTATTGTCTCTTTTTTACTTTCCTTTTATTTAAATATATTAATATAATAAATATAATACTACTGTATCTCTCTTAGTTTGACTATTTCCCCTTTGACCTGTCCGGCATGGATGATCCTACCGGTAACTACTAGGTTTTCGAGTGAAGTAGATATGATCGCTTTGAGAGCTATTAAATCAGATTTGCTATATATGAACATATGTTCAACCAAAAATGGATTTTGTGTGTGAATTTGATTAATATATATAAATATAATATATCAATAATATTAATAATATGAAGTACATTCCGTTTGACACTATTTTGGCTTTAAAACACACGATTCTTTGCCCTGATTAATTAATTAAATGCTTACTCGAAGTATTTCATTGATTAATCTAATAATCCGAATACTCCTAATAATCCAAGACAGAGTATATGACATCATTAATCGGTCTCAGAACAATCAAACTTGCTTCACTAGAAAACGCTATATATTACCGCCGGCATAGCTCTCAGGTTCATTAGAGTACGTAAATCTCCTCACCTGGCAAATGCCTTCATTAAGGTGGAGATACCATCGAGGAGGAAAAATGTGTGAGGATAGGCTTTTTCCTCTTTTTCAATTCTTAGGATAGGTACTATTTTATTATCAATACAAAATTTAATACAAAATAATTTATTACATGGAATTACACGAAAAAATCCAAAATATGCGTATAATAAAAAATGTACTAAAAATTGTTAGACTAGACAAGACTTTTTAGTGTCGATTAATTACGCGATATTTATTATTAATAATCGACACACAATTATAAAGCTTAATAAGTTTTATACAATGTAAAGAATCGCGACCAAAGGAGTCCTTAATAAAGTTATTAATTGTAGAAGAAAATACTTGTGCATTTTGCGCAGACTTTTAAAGAAAAAATTCAAGACGCAAGAAAATAGACAAAGCTTCGATGTACATCAACGATTAAATTATAAAACAAATCGGGATTTAAAATTCGCGAGCAAACGCGACAAATAAATAAACCGACGATATTTGTAATATTCGATTGCGATACGCATTGCGTAATTTCTATAATAATCGAAACTCATACGTACGCGATATAATCACTATCATTTTATGCAAAGATATTTCAACAAACATTCGAGATTTGTTATATAGTATCCACCGCCCGATTTATTTTCCAATACGCGATTTTATACGAATGTCGCGATTGACAATAAGATATATATTCTATCTCACTGATGACTGTTTTAACAGAATAAAATGGATCTTATAAGCCTTTAAATATCGTTATAAAAAATCGCGTTATTGCCACGTTTTATAGAGAATAACAGATCCAATGATTTTAACAAGGCCCTCCCTCCCCCGAGTGATACGCTGGTTAATATTCGACAAAGAGAAGAACGATCCTAAAGGTGGAGAACGACCAATGTCTTGTTTCTACATCAGTTTCTGCAAGATCGATCCGCAAAGAAAAGTTAAGTGATCCGTTGAACGTTAGAGCCGCTACAGGAGGGAACGAATCCCGGATCTTCCGGACTACTCCCGATAGCAATGATTTCGATAATGAATCAATGACAGTTTAACCATTTATCTTCATTTCACGAGATTGAAAATTGAGCGAGAAGACATGTTCTTCCATTATTAAGAAATATATCTCTTTATTGAAAAATAAATGGATATAACGATTTTTATGAAAACGTGGTTACAAACGATTATATTTATGAATAATAAAATACATGTATTGTTATTATAGCTAGTGTTGAATGTGCAAGTAAAAATAATTCTTGGGTACCAACTGTTCGAGACGAATCGTACCCGATAACAGCAAAATTTTGACGTTCCAATTGTTCTTTGTCAGTATTACATAACTTATTTTGCGACATCATAATCGCATAATATTGTAACTTTTGAATATAATATAATCCTGTTTCTAGTCTTTCTTTGAAATTGATATGGTGAAATATTTTCTTCTGTTTTTCTCTGTTATACTTTTTTTCCGCGGTAGGACAGCTAAAATTAAAAAAGACATTTCTCAAAAATTTCATTAAACTGTCTCGCGCCAAGTCACGCGAAGCAAAGATCATGCGCAGCAATTACATATACATTAATATTCAGAATAAATTAACAAATTCATAAATAACAATATGGATTTTTTTATTTAAAAAAGATATGATTTACTGTTTTAATCAAATTATAATTATCACAATAGTAATGGATAGCAATTTGTACGATACGTATATATGCACAATGTGTTACGGAGATGCATTTGCTGCGATAATCTCGCATCACTTAAGTTTGTTACTTTAAGTTATATTTAAATGAGAGAAATCGAGTGAAAACTAAATGTGTAGGGATATATTGCGTTCTATACATGCCACTAAAATAAGAAAAATTGAAAAAAAATTTTTAAATAAAAAAAATATTCACGCACACAATCTTTACAATCTCTTCAGGTAGTTAAAATTGATTGCATATGTCTGTTTGATTGTTTGCATCTGACACATCGGTCACGTCACGAGCAAGTGTTTGAGTCATCGCGGTTCAATTGCACTCGTTTTACCTTCCTGAAGATCTATTTGTTATTTTAGTTACGTTTAGATGAGGGCGCTAACCCATCGGAGTTCGCCCGTCAGTTCAGGATCCCCTTAATTGCACATATAATTTTAAGTATAATTTAAACATATATATGTATATACGCAAATATAAAATTTTCAAAAAATGGGCGCCAATCTGGGCGTTAGTCTTATAGCAATATGTTAGAAGAACAAGGACAGCATGTGATTGTCGCTCCTTATCTGACATTATCTTCCAACAATTGCATCCGTGTGCTCAACGTATCAGTGTTTGTGCCTTCACAGTGGTTGTGCTACACGCATACGCGATGAAAGAGAGACAAAGACGCCGCAATTATCTCTCTTTGTCAAGCAATCAGTGTACTAGTATCGAAAATATCGAAAAGTGGATGTAGCACGGACATGAACCACATGGAGATTTGACCGACAATATCGAAAAGTGTGTGACTATGTGTTTCCAATTCCTAAAAGTGGATGTATGGCGCTGCTGTACGGCGTAGGGATGACCGCTCTCAGACTTTTCTCTGGTAAAAAGAAATTTTTCTGACAGAAGGATGCACGCACGTGCCGAATTGTTATGGAATATAAATGTCAAATATCATCATTTTTAATTCAATCTTTAGATTACGAATTAAAATATGGCCCACGTTAATCAAGATCAAGGAATAGGAGAATATATGGACTTTTTAACAAAGTTTCACAATATTTCGAATAAATTGAAAAAGTCAGTTTTTTTAAATATTTATATAATTAGAAGCTTTTATATGTGACAGTAATTTTTTCTTTTATTTATAATATTTATTAATCTTTTAGACGATTTTTGAGGAAGCCAAACGTCTCAGAGGCATGTAATCAATTTAGTGAGTATTTATTATAATATATATGTCCACACAAATTTTTAATTAATATCAGAAGAAAAATATGTATAAAATGGAAATTTTTGTTTTTAGGTGCCTTAGCCACTGAATGCGAACAGAAAGAATTGTGGCAATATGCAGGTTTGTGTTGGTTGGCAGCTGCTAGATGTCAAGGCACATTAGAAAATGCCTCTTCTGAAATAAATCTTCTGATAAAGGCGGGAAGGCAATTTCTCGTAGCTGAGAAAAAAGACAATGATACAGGATGTCTCTCTATAGGCCATGAAAACATACAGGTTTTTATATGAATATAAATTTACGATACAAAGAAAATAAAGGAAAAAAATTAAAAATGTCTTTCCTATATTCTAGGCAGTTGTGAGTTGTTTTGGTCACTCTATGGCAAGATGCAGCAGCCAACCAGGATTTAATACAATTTCTGCAGGTCTATCAGTAGAATTGGCATTAACATTGGGTCCGAGTTCTGCTGGCATTCAATATCTGCGGAAAGCGATTGATATATTTCCCACATCAAAAGCTATTAATACTTTAGTGTCTTTTCATATAAGCCTAGGTTGGTATCTATCATTCAATTCTCTTCATACTTTTTGTGAATAATTTATATTTTTGTTGTCATCCTCTTAAGTTGACAGAATTATGTATATATATATTAGTATTTTATATATGTATAATTTTATCTTTATAGGAGATTATGTAGCTGCACTACAGATCCTTAACGAATTCGTAGAATTTGCAGAAGCTTGTGTTGTGGCTGGTGCCAGAGGAAATTATAATGCTATTCTACATAGGTATTATATATATAATATTTTGTAAAAGCATATATTTTTAATATTTAATTAAAAAATATACAATAAAATCAATGATTGGTAGGTGCGAGGTGACACGAGTACTTTTACTACTCATTCTTCAGCCATCGCCACAGAGATTAACACCTTCTCTCGCACAAGTTCTCGAAAAATATGCATGGGCCGAAGAAAATGTGAATAATAGTACGGATCACATGTGAATTTGGCTATTTCAAATTTTACAAAAATATTTATTTATTTATTTATTTTTAATTTAATATTAGTCTTTATGTATATAATAATATATTTAAAATTTTATTAAATTAATTGAAATTATTTGTTTGTTTTGCCCAGATCTCAATATGAGCGAGGATGAATTATTGTTGTTGCAATCCCTGGTATTAGCATGTCAATCTCACGATCATCAAGCAGTATTGGAATTCGAGAGCGAATTGTATCCTTACTTTGACACAGAACAAAAAGAATTGTTACATAAATTGATACAAGTATTATCAACGCAGTAAATATATAAGATAATGAAATCACGATGATGTGCGACTAATTTATGTCCGGAATTTCATTCATTATGGATTCTCGTGATTTTACGTCGTATTGTACAGTTTATCGAAATAAAAAATTGAAACATATTCGTCGAGAAACGAACGTGAAGAATGTCAGAGTCCAAAGTTATTTTTCTTTCATTTCTATACGATTACATTATTAGAGGTCTCGAAATAGGTTTCTGCTTAAACTATTACAAAACTCAAATGAGCCAACGAGATGAGCCGCGCTTTTACTAATTTAGTAATAGTGTCGCAAGTAGTGAATACGGTAGTAAATCGCTTATGATCTCCTTTGTAGTGGTAAGAGCGGCGCGCGATGTGAAAAGAGGAGGAACTTTTTAGATGAGAATCATAAAACGAACGATTGGAATGAAGCGCGAGGCTGGAAGGAAGGGCATATGGTGTGCGTGCCGGTATGGTATCGTGGAGGAGGGGATGTCTCGCGCGTCCCACGATACACAACTAAGGTCCTCTGTTCCTTCCATAGCTGCTATTCAAGACAGAGTCTCTCAGTCATTGCGCGAAGTGCCTCCGGAGTCCTTCGGATCGGAATTGATTGCGGTCTATTGAATTGTTTAATCTTAAATTCTGCACTGAGGTAACAATCTCTTCAATTTATTGTCTGATATTCTCTATAACGAATTTTTTTGGTTCTATAACACACAAAAACAAGTATAAATTCACCGAGATGCTTCCGGAACGATGCGTCAGTTTTTTTTATTCAGACTTGAGAAACAAGAAGGCTCTTCGAGGGCAAACTATCTCTTGTAATAGGAATGAGAATCATCTTCAAGGACGCCGATTAATTTCTCAATTTAAAAGTCAAGGTTTATAGAAAGAGACTTTCATTTTCAAATCACATTCCAAAACGATTATTAATGAGACGTGAGTAAGTTAAATTGCGGTTGTATTTCATCATTTGATTTCTTTACGATCAGATACATTTTCTGTGAATTTACTTAAATAATAATATATCAAATAAAAAATATATATCTACATTTACACAAAATTAGAATTTGATTTTAAAATTGGAAATTTAAATATTTAAATTTTTTAAATATCCCGGATTATATGATGTTCAATTCAAGATTGAATGAGTGTCTATAACGATCGTCTGACTTTGATTACCGTTAGATATTTTCACTACAAGAATTTGATTACAAGCTTAATTAATTAAACAACTATCTATTATCTACTCGAAAATATATGAAAGTCCGTACACACTCGTGATTATATATATATATCTTGTATTGCCTGGATTATATATATTGTCTTGTATATAATTTACGAGACATTTAAAAAATTTAAATATTTAAATTTTCAATTTAAAAAATAAATTTCTAATTTTTTATATAGATGCAGATATTCTTTTTTGTACATTTGGCGTATACGCCGTATTTTAGAGGCGTTTTTTTTTTCATTCCTTTTTATCGCCGAGACACTACCAAGGTATACCGCTATACAATGATTTACCACTTATTTCGGCGACCTTGAACTCTCTTTGCTTGAACGAAGGTGAATGCCCCAAGCACCTGTATTCTTTGACTTGCAAGTGTGCATTTCTATGGGGATAAAAGTCTGGTCTATGTAGGGACAGCTTGAAAGAATCGTTTATCTATTTAAAAAATTTATTTACAGGAGAGAGATATTTATTTATGTTACAAATATTCATTATTTTTATATAAAGCGTATTTACGAAGAAATATTTCGACACAAAAATCTGTTAATTAAAAATCTATTTCTCTCGTCTAGTCAGAAGAAAAGAAATGACCGGAGATTGGAGGACCATTTTCGTAACCGGAGGCGCCGGTTATATCGGAAGTCATTGCATCGTCGAACTCTTGGAGTGCGGATACAACGTGGTGGCAATAGACAATTTTGCAAATAGCGTGACGGAAACCGATGGGGAATCCGCGGCGCTTAAAAGAACCGAGCAAATAACAGGGAAGAAGGTCATGTTTTATAATTGCGATCTGCTCGATAGAGAGAAACTCGAGACAATTTTTAATAAGGTATTTTTTTATCATTATATGTTTCAACCACGTAAAGTTTTTGAATAAGATAAAAGAGCGATCTCTTTTTTTAGATCATACATGTATAAAAAAAAACGTAATTTGTCATTTTCAGCACAAAATAGACTGTGTAATACATTTTGCAGCTATCAAAGCCGTTGGCGAATCAATGCAAGTTCCACTTCATTACTATCGGAATAATATAATAGGAGCTATTAATTTGCTCGAGGTATAAAAAAGAATATGTTACACACGTTTTGGATCATCTCTTCAAATAATCCGACACACATCTTATTTACAGGTGATGAAAGCGGCTGGCTGCTTTCAGCTTGTATTCAGCAGCTCTTGTACAGTTTACGGCGAGCCTACAGAATTGCCTATCACAGAGGAACACGAAACCGGTAATATCACCAATGTTTACGGCCGAACAAAATATTTTATCGAAGAGATGTTGAAGGATATATCTAAAGCTGAAAAGGTTTGTATGTGTAAAAAATCTGAAATTTGCTCTTTTGCATATTTATACAATCAATTATAGATTAAAGTTTATCTAAGTTTATCTACATAAAAAATTATTGTAATATATTTCAAAATCTTCTTTAGTTTTATTTTTCCATGAGAAATTATATACCACGTGTATTCTAATTTATGCATAATTCTTCTAATTTCTTTTTTTGTTTTGTTTAACACAAGAATTGGAACATTATATCCTTGAGGTATTTCAACCCGGTGGGCGCTCATCCCAGCGGCCTCATCGGCGAAGATCCGACGAAACCATTTACGAATTTGATGCCGTATATCGCTCAAGTTGCTTTGAGACACAAACAGGAACTAGTTATATTCGGCGGCGATTATGCTACGAATGATGGTACAGGTAATAAATTATCTTTGATTCTAATATGAAAGTATAGGCATATAATTTAATATATAATCTGTGCATAATCTTTCCCGACAGGTGTTCGCGATTACATTCATGTTATGGATCTGGCGGCAGGCCATGTGGCGGCGTTAAACGCCTTGCACAAACAGCATCTCAGGCTTAAGATTTATAACTTGGGTACTGGCAATGGCGTAACTGTATTAGAATTGATAAAAACTTTTGAGAAAGTCACTGGCACTACTGTGCCTTACGTGATAAAAGCAAGAAGAGAGGGCGATATTGTGTCCATGTATGCTAATACAGATTTGGCGAAAAAAGAACTGGGATGGACAGCGAAATATAACGTTGAGCAAATGTGTAAGTAACATAAAATTTTAGGTCAGTAATCTCAAAATATATCTAATGAATGACGATAAATACAGGTCAAGACTTTTGGAGGTGGCAAGTGATGAATCCGCATGGTTATCGAACTTCAATAAAGAATGATACTAATGAACATTCGTAACAACGAACTGTATCAAAGAACTTGTGCAAATAATTTATAATAAAGGATCCATACAAGTTTTATCTTATAATTTAAATATTTATATTATCTATAATAGCTTTTTTTTTTCTACATTTTAAATTAATTTTTACTCTGGTTCTCACTGCTTTCATTGTCAGCATTACTTTCAGCTTTCTTACTTTCATCCAGAATTTCATACAGTGATAAATGTTGAAACTTAAGAATTTCCAGACCCCAACTCGTCCATCCAGGCAATAGATACCTTGCAAAAATTTCTAAACATTTTGGCTCATTTGGGAGATATTCCTTTATGATTTCTAAACATATAAATAAATTTTTTATTGCAATATGTCGCTAAAAATTTTATATTTATTATATTTTTAAATTTTTATATTATATTCATACCTGTGAGGGGTGGTTTGTGAGAATGCACTGCACTAGGTACACTGATCATTAGCTTGCTATCAGGAATATTTACTTTGTCTTCTTCTAACGCAGATCCTAATATCAGTAATTCAAAAGGTTGTTTTCCAGGCGCCGAATTAAAATTGCATATAGTATCGCCTGCCTGTGTTACCTAAAATGGCAAATTGTGTTATCTAATGTTTGTTGTATTGTATATTTACCACATTGTATTAGGTAAAAATTATATCACAAGAGACATCACTTACTTTGATCCAATACCATTTAGCTCTATGAGTGATACCCCAGGATGGAAATATTTCATTAAAGATACTATTTAAATGATTAGATGAATTAGTGCACCATATAGCCACAATACCATTTGAATGTAATAATTTTCTTATTGGTATCTTAATTAATTCTTCATTGTACATCATTTTGTAACTACAAAAAAGCAACGGTATGCAAACATTTCTCATTTTAAGCAATCAAAAGTTATATATGTTTACTTCTTCTCATTTGAGATTAAATTAAATAACAAATTAATTTATAATATAAAACATAAGTTGCATTCTTTTTAAATACACTAAGATTTATTTTTCTATTAATTTATATAGTTTAATATATATATATATATATATATATAATCACCTAGCTTCAGCGCATTTTATTTTTTTTCTTCTAATTGATTTGTTCCACCAAGGTGGATCCAACAATATAAAATCATACTGATTGTTCAGTTCCATTTTCTTTTCTATATCTTTCACATCATAGCAATAAAATGTACATTTCTTTGGGAATACATATTTTTTATTGTGAGTCTCAGATATGACAGTATTATTCGTATCATTGGATCCATACAGATTCTCATCTTTGAGACAATAGGTATCCTGATAAAATTTCTGTGATGCCAAGCGTGCAGCTTCATTGTTATCCAAAGACACATTCTCATTAAAGAGTCCTCTGGTTTTTGCAGTAGATATTATTGTGCTGAATTTTTGTTTAACATGATCGACCTGTTATAAGAATTACTTGAGATATCATAAACCGAAAGTATAATTCTCACACCATAAGAGTTCTTAGTTTTAATTTTATAAGAAATTGTACAATATAGAAATTAAATATTGTTTTTTTCTTTTAAACCTACTTCTTCCAAGTCTCTTTCTGGCAATAATTGTGAACGCTTCCTCTTTTTCTTACTATGCGATACAGCGTCATCCTGAACAGTTTGCGCAATTTGATTTTGCCTCAAATACTGAGAATTAATCTCAAATATCATTTTATTGAAGATCAAAGTGCAAAATCCACTCTCGTTCAAGACTTTCTTATATATCTCGTTGAGATATTGCAAGTGTGATACAATCCAGCCTTCTTCGCTAGTAAGAAGGATACTCATACTTGATCTTGAAAGTTGGTTTACTATATTTATTTGTGTCATACACAAATGCACGTGTAATATTTATTATAAATCTCTTATAAATCTCTTATAGATTCTATGTTCAATTCACCATTATAAATCAAGTCGTTTAATGACTATCGTACTACATGTGTCAATCCATGCGAGGAGAATATTAATTATCTACATCTACCACAATATATTTCATTGTTATATGTGAATCTATACGATTGGATCATTTGAAAAATCTATACACAACGAATAATTGCATGGGAATTCGATTCTTTGATATTATTGGTCGCCATTTGCCGGCGTTTTACTCGCTCCAATAATACTCGCTTGTTATCATCCTGTTCTCTCTGGTCCTTTCCTCCCTCGAGGAACATTCTATTTACAACAGAAGCTACATATTTTTTATCGTTATAAAAGTATATTTCCAACGACGAGCTATGGTTTTATTAGGCGAAATATTTCCGGACTTTACAGCGGAGACGCAGTTAGGAACGATTAAACTTCACGAATGGCTGGGCGATTCGTAAATATTTTCCAATATTATAACCTAAATTCTCTATCTATTTATGGAAAAGATATTGATTGCATTGCAGTATATGTATATATATATATATATACTGTAATAAATATATATATTATAAATAAAAGATAAAAAACCTGATTTTTTTATCTGTTATTTATAATTATATTTAGTTTGCAGTAATTTGTCACATGGTGTGTGTGTGTATGCAAGTAATAAATTAAGTTTGAGTGTATTTTTTATATTTACATATATATAGAGTCCTTCCCCAGAAATTGTATATATGTAAAGGTTTTATTTTACATTTTTATTTACAATAAATTGTCATTTGTGACATGCAAATTATGTAACTGATAAATTACATTAATATGTTTTATAGAATGTATTTTATGTATATGTATGTAACATTTTTGCTCTCCTCGAAAATAGATGGGGCATCTTATTCTCTCATCCTAATGATTTCACACCGGTCTGCACAACGGAATTGGCACGGGTTGCAAAACTAATGCCCGAATTTAAGAGATTAGGAGTGAAAGTAATCGCATTGTCCTGCAATTCTGTTGACTCCCATCGTAAATGGATAAAGGTTTGCATAATTTTTTTCCAATAACTATCGTTTTAGATTTTTTAAATACTGTGAACGATTTTTTTAATAATATTTAATATTGGATTTGTAAGAAATCATAGAATATATTAATACTCAAGAACAGAACATTATTCTATAGGATATAAAAAGCTATGGCGAGATAATAGATGAGGAATTTCCATATCCAATAATAGAGGATCAAACCAGGAAACTTACTACATTATTGGGAATGTTGGATCCCACAGAAATGGATATTCAGACTGGATTACCCATGTCAGCGCGGGCTGTGTTTATAATTGATCCAGCTAAGAAGATGCGACTATCAATTTTATATCCAGCCACTACTGGTCGAAATTTCGAGTAAGAACTTAATTTTATATCCGACAAATAAAAAAAAATTTTTTTTTTTTTTTTTGGGACATTAAAATGTTACATCTTGATTTTTTTTACAGCGAAATAATAAGGGTAATTGAATCTCTTCAGCTTACAGAAAAATACAAAGTAGCAACTCCTGTAGATTGGAAGGTAGGTTTTAAGAAAAAAATGTTATCTTGTTCTTTTTTTTATCAAAGATATTAATTTTTTGTAATTAAGCCATTGAATGAGACATTATTATGAGGACTTGTCGATATTAAATTTTTTCATTCTTTCAGAAAGGAGACGATGTGATGATTGATCCGAGTGTATCGGATAGTGAAGCCAAAGCTTCTTACAATGATATTAAAACTGTGATGTTGCCTTCTGGCAGAACGTACCTGCGTATTGTGCCACAACCTATAGATGCGTAAAAGAAAAATCCCTATATATTGTAATGAAATTCGACTAAAATTCAAACTCTGCGTAAATCATTATTTGTATGATGTAAATGTTTCATTTACGCTGTTTTATGAGATAAGATAAACTATTCAATATATATTTTTTTATAATTATTATATATTAATGTTATATATAATATTATATATAATATTATATTAATAATTATTCATATATATACTCTGTATATATATTTAGATTTCGTCTAAAAAACTTCTTTTAAGAATATTATTTTCTAAGAAGAGTTGTTCTTAAAAAACGTGACAATATTATTTTTTACATATGAAAAGAAATCAATGTTTACATCATACACTGTGGAACAATTAAGTGTCAAGACTTTCATATGAAAAATTTATTTTTGATCGTACAAACCTTAGACAGTTAAAAAGTTTCAATGTAGTCACCATCTAACTCGACATACTTAGTTCAACGTCTCCGCCATTGCTCAAAGCAGCTCTGATAATCTTCTGAAGCAAGCCCTTTCAAAATTTTAGTCACGTTTTTTTTTTATGTCATTTGTATTTCCGAAACGTTACTCTATGCATAGCTGACTCTCTATAGGCTTGTTGAATCATTTGTTTCTGTTAGCGATTTCTCTAATTTAACGCAGAATTTAATGTTTGCGCGTTGTCGAGCGTTCCTTCAATTATACCGATTTTTAAACAAAATTTTCTAACAACTTCGCGTAACTATCTCATTAACTATTGAACTAAATAATAATTTAAAACTTGCACCATGTGTTGAGTATTGAGTTGTGAATAACTAAAATGGCAGCACAAACGGATCAAATGTTTGGAAATGTGAAGCAAGTCTCGAAACTTAATTGTTCGACAGTGTATATTCTCTTCTACCAGCTTGGTAGACATAACAAATAGATTTTAATCCTTAATATTTGCAAACAACAAAAGAAGCTGTTTATTATTTCACCTAATGTAATTAAAAGTACACTGCGTTATATATACATTTTTTTCCAAGTACATTGTTTACTATCTCTAGGCATAATGTGTATAATATTTACATTCTTATCTTTTTATTAAGTTATTACTGTAATTATTTTTTTTCTACATTACGATTATATTTCGCCTTGTGTTTCTTGCTTTTAAATTGCTTTATGCGCAATAGCGAGTACACAATTTTATAATATATTTCATATATAAAACAGTCCCTGATCAAAACCAATAAGATATAGTATAAGATAATAAATTTAACAAAACTATACCTTTATCATATCGTTTATTATTACGCAATTAAAAATTAATTACTACACAAAGTATCGAATCATAAAATACTATCGCAGCCTTCTTATTTGAGAGACCCTTCTCTCTCTCACAACTTTTCGCAAACCTGCACTGTGACACTGCTATCAATAATACGCAGTTTATCCTTTGCAGAATCCGTCTCCATCAGGATACAGAAGTTCCATGTATTCACATACATACACACACACATACATACATCATTGGAGAATTGAATTGAAAGCTACGGTAGATTCTACCATGTCCATGTCCCAATGTCTGTAGCCTCCTTTCGATGCACTTGTGCTTAATTAATCTATTTTGAAGCAACAACACTTTCACGAGCGCCAATCATTGTCGAACAGGGAATTATCTATATACATATATAGATCTTCGTTGTGCGAACAGTGTCGAATCAGTGGAATAGAAATAGAAAAAAAAAACGTGGGGCAGTGACTGCATGTCCACAATTTCTTTTTGTCAGATCGCCATGGGACTTTCTAGGTGATCGCTACTCATTGTTTCAGTTAATACGCGACGATCCCTTACGACTCATTCACCGGCCACATGACTGTCTTGCTGCTGCTGCTGCTCGGAGTGCTGCTGTTGCATCTCTCCTTCCATTCGCGCTTGTCGTTCTGCAGCCGCTCGTGCCTGTCTGCCGGCACTCGAACGAAGATTTTTTCGCTCCGGCGGTGGTTCCACGTTCAGTCGTTTGCCGCTACGCGCTTTCTTTGCCTTGGGTCCTCCTTTACCATCCTCTTCCACTTCCGACGCAGTAGGCTTATTACCAGCCTCGCTCTTCTGCGTCGTCAATGGCGACATCGTATTCGCGGCCGACGTCGACGTCGTCGGTGTCGTTGCCGTCTCGTTCACTTCCTTCTTGATCGCGGTATTCGTTTCCACAGACGAAGTGTTGTTTTCATCTTGTGAAGGCGGCAGTTGTGCCGCCTTTGTCGGTGTTGTCGGCAACGTTTGTCTCGTCGCCGGTTCAATCTCTATCGTCGGTACATCGTTATTAGACGAAGACGATTTTGAACTCGTGTCTACTTCGGTACGCATCTTCTTAGCAACAGGTTCTAAGGTGACCTCGAGCGGCGGTGGTGCCGACAACGTCGATCGTTGGTGGTCGGAATTTTGATTGTTGCCGTCTGTATTATTGCTACGATTCCTCGGCGGCTTTTCGAGCTTCGGTGCATCGTCGACCGTTCGAGTGACCAGTTCGGCACTGGTCCTGCTTAAGTGTTCCAGAGCCTCTTTCATCTCTTGTTCCTTGCTCCTCCGCTCGGTCTTCTTCTCAGATAGATCCGCTGCCATTACATCGATTTGTTCTGTCGTCGCCATTTCCCTCTTTTCATGCTGCTGTTGCTGTTGTTCGACACTGCGGCCACGCCTGTCTTCGCCACTGTGTAACGCCGCCATATCCGTATACTGTTGCAGAGTCACAGCCGGATCCACTGGAGGATATCTAGACGCCTTCTTCTCGGCCTCCTTTCGTTTTGCCGCCGCCGTCGACGACGACGATGATGATGATGACGATGATTCCGGTACAGCTTCACGCTGCCTCGAGGAGCCGCCGCTCGAAGATGCAGGTTTCCGTACCACGGAAGAAGCGCTGGATGTCGGTGGATTCAGCAGACCGCATTGGGCGAGACTCTCATAGGCCGACGATACGCCTCCGGGCTGCATGGAAAACGGATTCAAGCCTCCTAGGCCTAGCGGCGTATAGAGAAGGCTAGGATTCGATAGGAAGAACGGGAATGGCGAGGGGCTCGGAAGGCTCGTTGCAGAGGAAGCTGCGGACAAAGTCGATGGACCGCCAGCGGCGGCCGATGATTTGCCGGTCGTCGTTGGTTGATCGAGTTTGTTGCTACGCGATTTGCTGCTACTGCTACCACCACCGCCGCCACTGCTGTTCAAGCCGGATGATGAACCCGCGCCACCGCTCTTGCTACCACCCGCCGAACTCACGATAGGATTATTTACGGCATCTACTGCCGCTGCGCTGCTGGTGGCCACCTGTGCGTTTAATGCCGCCTCCATGCCCGCCAATGATGGTAGACTTAATCCAGCAAGATTGGCGAACAGCGAATTCGTTAGGCCCATGCTGCCCAGATTGCCGAGGTTACCAAGGCCACTGAGCGCGCCCAGATTCGTTAGACCGCCGAACGGCATCAGTAGCGGATTATTCTTCGGATCAAAGTTACCGAGCGAAAGACCCGATAGCAGGGAATTGTTGAGATTGCCAAGTGGGAAATTGAGACCCGATGCCATCGATGTGGCCACTAGATTGGCGGAATTCGCCGACTGCTGGCTCGTAGGACTGGGCATCATGGGCGGTCTGCCCGGACTCTTGCCTTTGTTCACACCACCGCGTTCGTTACCCGGCAGTCTCTTTTGCAAATCGTGCGGAAGATTGCCGCGTTCCTTCACGAGTTCCGCCCATTTTGGATCCACATCAAACATCGGATTCTCCATAAGCCATTGCCCAAGCCGTTTCAATTGAGGTGCTTTACTTCCAGTTACCTGAAACAGAAACAAGAAAGATTTACTTTAATGATCAAATTTAAAGACTGCAAGTAATACTTATTAAAACTTAATTTTTCTTTGTAAAAATAATAAAAAACACAATTTTAAATTCTTACGATCGCTTGTGATTTAAAAAATGAGTAGAAGACGATGAGAAAAAGATAACAAGATTGTTTAGTATGTACAGGCTGTTTCATAATACAGTGATAGTAATATTAATAATATTTGTATATTTTTAATGAAAATTATATAAAATAAATAAGATATACATAATTTCAAAATATATTAAATAATTATTAACTTATGCAAATGGCAATGTTTTATAATTAATCCAAATTAATAAAAAAATTTAAATTATCCAGATATGCAAGAAAGAGACAATTTTTAAGAAAATTTTCAACATTAAAAAAAAAATATGTATTAAGAATAATGTAATTACCTTCTTGCCGGTTATTCGATTAATGACGGCAACGTTTTCCTCGCCGGTAAGCTTTTTCCAATCCAACAAGGACGGATCGACGCGCGGCCTACGCCGTCGAGGAGCATTCAGATATTCCGCGCATTGTTCCGACATGGCGCTTTGTTCAGCCAACCATTTGTTTACCTTCGCTTCGTGCGAATACGAGCCGACCTTGGACGAGTACTCGGCGACTTTGTTAATGTCCGCGATCATCGCTTCATAACTCTTTCGGTGACTGCTGCTCGAGGAAGACGGATGCGCCGAGTTAAATGCCTGTTGCTGTTGTTGTTGCTGCTGCTGTTGCTGTTGTTGCTGCTGCTGCTGTTGATGCTGTTGTTGTTGTTTCTTCAGTTCGCGATTCTGCTGTTCGGCTTGAACTAACAATGCGGAGAAGGTATCCTTGTGGGAATGCAACGACGGCGGCGGTAAAACGGACGTGGAGGAGCTCGAGGCACGCGAAGATGGAATCGACGTAACGGTAATGGAGAACGGTTTCTGGGTCTGGGGATTGGGAAGCCCCATCGGCGCCGATGTCGGTGTCACGGTCACGTTAGGCGTAATTGTATTCTTCTTGCTGTGCTCAGGATAATGACTACTCTGTTGCTCCTTCGCGGCACTCAGGCCTAATACTATCTCGTCGAGTTTCCTGCGTTTTTTCTCCTTTCCGATTATTGGCTCCTCCGTCGGCTGGCAAAAGATCCAATTACATATTTAACAATTCGAATATAGGATCGTAAAATAGTATTTTGCAAAAGAAAAGATTACTCACACAAGATTTCCGTTTCATAAGTTTGTCCAACATACTGTCCAACTTTCCTTTGTTGCTACTGACTTGTTTATTCTTGTTCGGCATGGAAAAGTCTTGCACTTCGTTCATAATGTCCTTGTTATTATCAGAGCTTGATTTTGGATATCTAAAAGATGAATATATAATCATTGTAATATTTCTACAATATATTTATAACTGCTATAATAAATATACATATATTATACATATAATCATTCTATTATGTTTAACTTTATATTTTGTATTAACTTCGCGTTTTTTGAATATTTTATTAAATATCTTACCCAGCAGATAAATCGATGGGCGTCAACGTGCTCGATGTTCCGGGTATAACGGTCGTTTTGCCTGGAACGGTGTACTTTAGGTCGAAGGGCATATTCGGCGTTCGCGCTTGCTGATGCGCCGGCGGTGGCTGTACCGGCGTAGAGCGTCGCGATTCCTCGGATTGAGACTCGTCGTTCATCTCCCAGTTGGTCGAAAGCACCGGTTTGCTGAGTGGTGCCGGCGACGGTGTGCTTAGATGACTGCTGTTGAGAAGCGCGTGAAGCTTGGCTGCGCAATAAATAATAATGAGATGTAAATATTGCTATTAAAATATAAAACAAATAACGTAAACAATAATTATAAAACAAATTAAAAGAGTGCCTCAAATTAAAATTACCTCGTTCGGTCTCTACGTCGATAGCGATGTGCCTCTTACGTTTCTTTGAAGCGGATATATTGTTTCCGCTCACCATTGACCTGGACACTCCGTGATCTGTAGTGATAGTTATAACTTCTGAGCATTCCTTTTCGTTTTGCGGGATGTCCAACTCTTCGCCGGCGCTAAAGTTCACCGATACTGGCCATTCTTTATGCTCTATCGCGTGCACGATGTGCATTAAACGAGCTTCGATTGCATGCTCCTGGAAAGCGCACGCAATAAGTAAAATAAAATTTTAAAAGCATATCAAAAAGAATATTGAGCATTATTTAAATAAAAAGATTAGAATAAAAGAATTAACAGAATAGTTTACCTTCGGCCACTTTATCGATGTACTGGCACAACCATGCGCCAAAAGCTGCATCACCGTAGGTTCGTTATTGTAATCTGCCGGTTTGTCTCGCAAAACAAACGTATCGATCTGTGTTAATCGTGACAACGGTTGTATTACTTCCAGATCCGGGAACATCGCTTTCAATTCCGCAGCCTGGACGCTGCACTTATCTTCCATCTGCGAAATCTTCGTTTTTTCTTTGGCAATGTCGGAGCTCTTCCCTTCTTGCGTTTCAGTTTCTTCTTTAATTGGCGCGTTATCCGACTTTGCTTTGTTATCATCCTCGATAGCGGGCTCGGTATTTTCAACACTCTTGTCGATATTCTCCACGTTTTCTTTAATCTCCATATCTTTCTCGACTGTTTCCATTTTCTCGGCATCTTGCACTTGCGATTCGTTCGATTTCTCGGCGGATTCGACTTCTTGTTTAACATCGTTTTCTTGAGTCTTATCCTCTTTTTCGATTTCCACAATAGCAGGACTCTCAGCATTCTCTGAACTAGCTTCCTTCGCTAATTTCTCATCAGTCTCTTTGACAACACCAGTTTGATTGACTTTGATGTTATCGCATTTAACTGGCTCTATTGCCAGCTCGCTTTTCTCTTCGCTTTTTACAGTAACATTCTCCACATCCGACGTTCTCGCGACGCTAGTGATCATCAACGAGCTACTGACTGATTTCTCCTCGGATTTAGTCTCCGCTTTGACGATGGTCAATTCCACCTGACTCTTTTCGGAGTCCGCGTTCTCAGACTTCTTATCGGTAACACTTTGATCTTTCTTCGCTCCAACTTTTTCAATTTTTAGAGTTCCTTCGCCCTTTTCCAGCTTCACGAGTATTTCATCCTTGTCAAATTTCAAGATATCTTCTCTATTCTCGATCTTTATCGCTTTTTCGGACTTGTCTATTGTTTTAGGTGTTTGCGTGCCCGCATACATCCCTCTCGAGAGAAGTTTGTGAAAGGAAAAGTCCGGATCGTTCAGTATAGTGATATCGGTACGTCCGAGACCGTGCTTCGCAGCTCCGAGTAATAATTCCTTGTCGTGTTTTCCAGGTTGCCACCAATCCGGTGTGTCTCCTGACGGCTGGCACAACGACAATCGTTCCTCGAGATGCGGATGCGACAGAATCTCCTCGCGAATCTTACTCAGGAGATCGACGCGATCAAGTATCTGTCTCGCTTTGGCAGGACTCAACTGATCCACCGGAACATCTGTAAAATCTGCAACGTCAACAGTGTAAAATACTTCTCGCATAAGATGAAATCTTTATTACATATACAATCATATTAGAAAAATATATAATTGAATATATACTTAAAAATTCAATTATAGCAAAAAGATACGCACCTTCTTCTTCGTTCAGTTTCGCGTTGCAGACCTTCTTGCACATTGCTCTAAACGACATGTAATAGTCCGTGAGGTCGTTGTCCGTCTTCTTGTCAAATCTGGCGATACTTTTGAATTTAGTCCAGTCATATTGAGCTTTCTTTCTGTCATAATTAACGCCATATGTAGATACCACTCGTAGAAACTCGCTTTCTTCACGGCGAGTCCATTTGGCTTTTTGCTCCTCGATACGAGTGCGTTCTCGTTCCTTCACTATAGCCTCCATTTTCTCTCTTTTTTCCATTTTCTGTAAATGACATTAATGCCAATAATACGGAATTTCTTGAGATAAAATTTTATATATTATTTAAAGAAACAATAAATAATAAAGAGGCAAAAATTGGACCTAAATTGGCCCTTTATTGCCTATTATTTCTTTTTGTATGATTTATTCTGACAAGCCTTCATAAGTTTTTGATATATATATAATAAACGCGATAATTAAAATATACTGACCAAAAGATACATCGCTAATTGTTGCAAATCCCATCCCTGCATATTCAAGGGCGGTTCGTGCATCATTCCGGTATGATTTATGGTAGAAGTCTCACTTTCCATTCCTATTTTACTTTTTGGAATAATTTTAACATCCTCCTTCTTATTAACGGTCCGTTGATAAGAAGATATAACGCGACGTAATCGCGTATTAAGATCTACCACGGATGGCCAAGTCTTTTCGTCGTCCGGAAGAAGGCCATCGTCGTGACTGCCGCTAGCTTCCGGTATCGGGGTATCCGCTTTACTCGAAATAGCAGGAGAATCCGTTGGCGTTTCTCTAAATTTGTCGGAATCTTTCGAGTCCTTTGTCATTCCGGGAGATTCGCTATCGTCCACGTCGTTCTCCAAACTATTATCGTCTCTGCTGCTGCTGCTAAAATTTCAGAAATAATCCAAGATAGTATTTATATAACAAGGATGTGCATGAAATAATATCAAGTAAATCTGTTTTCCCAATAAGACAGATAAATTTATCATGTACAAGAAATTTTGAAATTATTTAATACTCCGTTAAAATTTTATTCTGTAATACAAAGAGAATTAGAAAAAAAAATGAGAAAAATAGTATTTATATGTCGGAGCTCTTCGCTTCTTGCGTTTCAGTTTCTTCTTTAATTGGCGCGTTATCCGACTTTGCTTTGTTATCATCCTCGATAGCGGGCTCGGTATTTTCAACACTCTTGTCGATATTCTCCACGTTTTCTTTAATCTCCATATCTTTCTCGACTGTTTCCATTTTCTCGGCATCTTGCACTTGCGATTCGTTCGATTTCTCGGCGGATTCGACTTCTTGTTTAACATCGTTTTCTTGAGTCTTATCCTCTTTTTCGATTTCCACAATAGCAGGACTCTCAGCATTCTCTGAACTAGCTTCCTTCGCTAATTTCTCATCAGTCTCTTTGACAACACCAGTTTGATTGACTTTGATGTTATCGCATTTAACTGGCTCTATTGCCAGCTCGCTTTTCTCTTCGCTTTTTACAGTAACATTCTCCACATCCGACGTTCTCGCGACGCTAGTGATCATCAACGAGCTACTGACTGATTTCTCCTCGGATTTAGTCTCCGCTTTGACGATGGTCAATTCCACCTGACTCTTTTCGGAGTCCGCGTTCTCAGACTTCTTATCGGTAACACTTTGATCTTTCTTCGCTCCAACTTTTTCAATTTTTAGAGTTCCTTCGCCCTTTTCCAGCTTCACGAGTATTTCATCCTTGTCAAATTTCAAGATATCTTCTCTATTCTCGATCTTTATCGCTTTTTCGGACTTGTCTATTGTTTTAGGTGTTTGCGTGCCCGCATACATCCCTCTCGAGAGAAGTTTGTGAAAGGAAAAGTCCGGATCGTTCAGTATAGTGATATCGGTACGTCCGAGACCGTGCTTCGCAGCTCCGAGTAATAATTCCTTGTCGTGTTTTCCAGGTTGCCACCAATCCGGTGTGTCTCCTGACGGCTGGCACAACGACAATCGTTCCTCGAGATGCGGATGCGACAGAATCTCCTCGCGAATCTTACTCAGGAGATCGACGCGATCAAGTATCTGTCTCGCTTTGGCAGGACTCAACTGATCCACCGGAACATCTGTAAAATCTGCAACGTCAACAGTGTAAAATACTTCTCGCATAAGATGAAATCTTTATTACATATACAATCATATTAGAGAAATATATAATTGAATATATACTTAAAAATTCAATTATAGCAAAAAGATACGCACCTTCTTCTTCGTTCAGTTTCGCGTTGCAGACCTTCTTGCACATTGCTCTAAACGACATGTAATAGTCCGTGAGGTCGTTGTCCGTCTTCTTGTCAAATCTGGCGATACTTTTGAATTTAGTCCAGTCATATTGAGCTTTCTTTCTGTCATAATTAACGCCATATGTAGATACCACTCGTAGAAACTCGCTTTCTTCACGGCGAGTCCATTTGGCTTTTTGCTCCTCGATACGAGTGCGTTCTCGTTCCTTCACTATAGCCTCCATTTTCTCTCTTTTTTCCATTTTCTGTAAATGACATTAATGCCAATAATACGGAATTTCTTGAGATAAAATTTTATATATTATTTAAAGAAACAATAAATAATAAAGAGGCAAAAATTGGACCTAAATTGGCCCTTTATTGCCTATTATTTCTTTTTTGATGATTTATTCTGACAAGCCTTCATAAGTTTTTGATATATATATAATAAACGCGATAATTAAAATATACTGACCAAAAGATACGCTAATTGTTGTTGCAAATCCCATCCCTGCATATTCAAGGGCGGTTCGTGCATCATTCCGGTATGATTTATGGTAGAAGTCTCACTTTCCATTCCTATTTTACTTTTTGGAATAATTTTAACATCCTCCTTCTTATTAACGGTCCGTTGATAAGAAGATATAACGCGACGTAATCGCGTATTAAGATCTACCACGGATGGCCAAGTCTTTTCGTCGTCCGGAAGAAGGCCATCGTCGTGACTGCCGCTAGCTTCCGGTATCGGGGTATCCGCTTTACTCGAAATAGCAGGAGAATCCGTTGGCGTTTCTCTAAATTTGTCGGAATCTTTCGAGTCCTTTGTCATTCCGGGAGATTCGCTATCGTCCACGTCGTTCTCCAAACTATTATCGTCTCTGCTGCTGCTGCTAAAATTTCAGAAATAATCCAAGATAGTATTTATATAACAAGGATGTGCATGAAATAATATCAAGTAAATCTGTTTTCCCAATAAGACAGATAAATTTATCATGTACAAGAAACTTTGAAATTATTTAATACTCCGTTAAAATTTTATTCTGTAATACAAAGAGAATTAGAAAAAAATGAGAAAAATAGTATTTATTTATTTATTGAACTTATCGTTTCCTTTCTCGATGTTCCGTAACATTGATTTATAAATAGAAAGACAGCAAAATTAGACGATCTATTTTAATATATCTAGTTTTTTTTACATATGAACGAGAAAATCCAACAGAAAAGTTTCAAAATATGAAAGGATGACGATAGTTCGTTCTCTGTATCGTCATAGTTTTAATTAAAAATTCTTTACTCTTGATTTTTTTTTTTGCTGCAAGTGCCGCAGCACTCTCTTTTGCGTTAATAATATCTCGCGAGAAGATATCGAAAGACGTTAGAGAGAGCGAAGTTGAGTGAACATTATATACGCCACTTTATTGCTGAAAATAAAAGCTATGACCGTCTAAGAGAGCGTATAGGTATATATATACATATATATATGTATGTATGTATGTATATATATATATATATGTAGAAAGCGGTGCAAGCGGCATATGTGTTAGGATAGTTAGGCAGCGCATAAGACAAAAGAGAGATAGAGAATGAGAGAAACAAATAACAAATATAAAGAAAAAAAAATACTAAGGTACTCACTCGGCGGTACTCTTGTTCTGAGAGTTCTGGAAAGGGGGAGGACAGCTTGTAATGAAAGAAAGCGCGGGATCAGTCCTCATCTGGTCGTAATTCTCATAGCCGTGTTTGTAGCAGCCAACTATTAAGGATTTATCTGCTGTCGTGTCCCACCATTTCGCCGGTCGTTCCGTCAACTGTGGAGGGTCTATCGGCAACGCACTGTAGGGGCGGTTTCGATTTACAAAATTTGCCAATTTATTTTGCGTGCCGATATATCAGTGTGTGTATTCATTAATTTATAAAGAAGAAATTTTTCATTATTAATAGAAATTAATATAAACAGACATTTCTAAAAGAGATATCTATCCTCGCAGCGGATACGATGCCATTTCGTAAAAGAAAAATTTCAACAAAAGATTTTATGCCACACAAACATCCGAATTCTTTCTAAGGATTTAAAAAAAAATCACACGTTTCGATTATCGCCTGTCCCTTCGATTACAGTGCACTGCTTAGCGACAAGTCCTACGCTCCTTACCACTATTTTGCAGATTCGATCATCCTCACGACCGTTTTACCAAGAAGTGTGCAAGAGTGTATCTCTTGTAGCGATCCGCGAGCGCGCGTGTTACGTGCATATATAGGATGGGGAAAAAATGATTTTTATATTAGTAGCATAAGGGGTAAAAAAACAAAATTGGTAGTCGCTTCTGCTGAGCTACGGTGGGTCAACGGTGATTCTGCTCTATGAGCATTCCTTGTACAGATATAGATCCCAGGATATCAACAAATACATCGCACATGCAACTATGCTAAGCTCCGTGGTAAGCACATATGTGAGTATACACGAATCTGTGATAGATGGTAGTAGTTTATGGTATGAAAAAGCGTCATGAGAAGAAAAGAACGATGCCAACTCACCTGACGTGAACACCGTCGGAGATGTGCTGAACCAAATCGCCAATAATCTCGTGTTTGATGTAATACAGCATTCGCACGCGCAATAATACTCTGTAAACAAAAAAAAATAAAACCATCAGTCGAATTCTCTGAATAAAAATTAAAGCAAAGAAATTTGATCTAATAATAAGATGCAAGTAGCTTTACGTAGCTTTGAGAAAAGTAATAGTTTGAAATTTAAAATAATTAATTAAAAGAGAAGAACAAAAAGAGGAGAAAGATAAATTTCACTTGTAATTATTTATAGTATTGCATCAATTTTTCACAATTTATATAGTTTTATTTATATGTATATGTACTTGTTGGCATGTCGACTGAGATGCTTCCTATAATTGCTCTCGAGAAAGATGTCCCCATCGAATTTCTCTGCGTTGCTCCAGTGACTAGGATCGCTCGGTCCACCGTTGATGATTGAGCCCCTGGTCTCTCTACCCTCTCGGACGCGGCCTTTCTTTTTCTGGCGACTGTTCCTGCTGCTGGTGTTCACCGATATGTTCTTCACCTTCTCTCCGTTCTCTATTGGGGTGATGAGGTCCCAGATAAAGCTACGAATCTTCTCATCGCCACGATAGTAGCGTAGACAATAGAGGAGAATGACACGCGCGCAATCCTCAACGTCAATCTCGCGCCAACCGCGTCGGAACTGGCTGTGTTGCAGGATCTCCTCCCAGCGACCCCAGCCGAATGTCAGTAGTCCGCGCTCCACTTTGAAGCATTCGCTACGCGCCCAACTGCCGTACACCACCTCTCCTTCGCGCGGCACGTATTCGTCGTAGAATTTACGCGTCTTCTTGCCGAACTTATCGCGCCGTTTCTTGCTTCTGCCGGACAAGCCAATACTCGTGTCGTCATCACTGTTCTCGTCTGAACTGTCCAACTCGGACATATCGACCACCGATTCGTCGTGACCGTAACGCTTGATTTGTGTTCTTCGCCGAGGCTCCGATATCACCAGCTCGTCCTCCTCCTTCTTTTCTGTTGTGTCGATCTCTGCTTTCTTCGCCCATTTTTTCCAAAAATCAGGATCGTCTATATTAATGTCCGATCGATTCGACGAACACGCAAAACTCGCTTTCGAGAATGTTGAACCCTTCTCAGCTTCTATCGTGATAATCTGAGTTCTTCGTTCGAGTATCTGTTCAATATCCTCTTCGCAAAATTTATCGCCGGCGTTATCGTCGTCCATAATAGCACCGTAAGCGCCCTTTTTCAATAGATCCTCTATCTCTTTCTTCGTTAGCTGTTTGTTACTGGGATCTTTACCGCCTTGGCTGGTATTCATAGATTGCAAGATTGCTTTGTCGAGACCCAATTTTAAAGATGCTTTGTCGAACATTTCCCGCTCGTACGTATTGCGGCAGAGTAGACGATATACCTTGACCATTTTTTGCTGCCCGATGCGATGGCAACGTGCCTGCGCTTGCAAATCATTCTGCGGATTCCAATCACTATCATAAATAATGACAGTATCAGCCGCAGTTAAGTTAATACCGAGTCCACCAGCTTTTGTGCAGAGCAAGAAAACAAATCTATCTGAATCAGGCTTACTGTAACGGTCAATAGCAGCCTGACGTAAATTTCCACGAATCCGACCGTCGATTCTTTCATAAGGATACTTCTTATACAGCAGATAGTCCTCAAGTAAATCTAGACACTTTACCATCTGGCTAAATACCAAGACTCGATGACCACTAGCTTTTAGTTTCGGTAACAATTTGTCGATCAATACCATCTTTCCGGAGCTATTTACTAGCGCGTGATAGTACGCCTCGGAATCCTCCTTTTCACCGGTCTTATAATCCAATTGTATCTGATCTTCGGCACCGTTCAGCAGAAACGGATGGATGCAACACTTTCTCAACTCCATCATAGTGTTCATGAGATTCGGAATGTTCGCCGATGTGGTGCCCTTTGCAAGAAACGAGAAGTTTCTCTCGAGTATGCCGCGGTAATATTTCTTTTGGATATTCGTAAGTTCCACCTCGACAACGGTCTCTTCTTTCGGCGCTAATGATTTCTCAACATCCTCCTTTAGACGACGTAGCATCATTGGTTTTAAGAGAAGTTGCAGCTTGTTTACTTCACCCTCGCTGCTTAGATTACCAAATTCTTTCAAAAATGCTTCATTGCTCGAAAACTGTTGCGGCTCCAAAAAGTTCAACAAGGAAAATAATTCATTGACGTTATTTTGTAGCGGCGTGCCCGACAGAAGTACCCTGTGCTCCAAATTTAATTGTCTCAGTCCTTCAAGAAGCTTACAATTCCGATTTTTTAATCGGTGAGCTTCATCTATGACGCAGAGTCGCCAATTGTATCCACGTAGTTCGTTAAAGTCGGTTATAATGATTTCAAATGTCGTAATCAACACATTAAATTTGATCAAATCTTTGATTTGCTGTCCCTTTTCGTTCTTGTAATAGACTTCATATTCTTGAAGCATAGTACGACTCGCCGCACTGTAATTTAAATATATATCGATGATAATTTAGTCCACTTTTTTATGCATACAGATGCATGTAAAAAACCATTTTAAATATACTTACGATCCATGATATACTACAACATTCATGTCGGTCCAGCTTTCGAATTCTCGCTGCCAATTTGGAATGGTCGACAAAGGAGCTATGATTAAAAACGGTCCGCGAATTCCGTACTTGTAAACTGCATCCACAAATGTTAGAGATTGAATTGTCTTTCCCAGTCCCATCTCATCGGCAAGAATACAGTTGTGTCCATTGTACCACGAAAATAATAGCCAATTTAATCCTTCTAATTGATACGGTCTTAAACTGTTATTATTTTTGTAAATCGGCGATTCCTCCAGCTTTACCCAAGCTGCAGCATTGGGTTTCTTCTTCGGCTAAAAAATAGCAGAAAATGTGTACGTTATTTTATGGATCAAAACCATAAATTTTTCAAATGTATAATTTTAATTTTCAATAAAATATACATATAAATTAGTAAAAAAAATACCTTCCACTGCTCCTTAGGTGGCACTTTATTAAATCTCACAAATTGTGCTATTTTTTCAGGATCAACATCTTCTTCCAATTCCCAGGTAGAGTCTTCGTATTGCAGGGATCGCCATTTGACCAAATAGTGTCGGACTGTGTCTCCAGTATGTGGATCTGTGTGAGTTGCTTCATCTAAGACTCGATCAACTTCGACAAAGTCTGGATTAAAGGGATCATCTTCGGTCTAAAAGAAAAAAAATTTCATAGAATAACGGTATAATTTAAATTTGTACCGGTGCTAACTTTTTAATGGCAGGTAATTTAATGTAAAATTATATTAATATATTTTATTCGTAAGTTAAAATAAGAAATATTAAGTACATTTTCGAAAATATTGGTGTTTTGTTGTTGCTTCTGCTTAAATCGTTTTAATTTAGCTTGAATACGTTTGTCTCCTTTATACATTTCCTCTTCTGTTCTCCATTCGCAATGCAAATAAGAAAAATTTCGATATTTTACGAAATATTCTTCCATTTCGGTAAACTGTGGCTTCGCTTCGACAACGGCGGTATCGATTGGTTTGGAATCCCCAGGCGATTCCTCCTGTTTCTTTGCATCTTCCTTCTTCGCGCTATCGGTTTCACTCTTTTCTTTATCCTCGGTCGTATCCTCAGTCTTTATTTCTTTCTCGGTATCTTCTACATCTTCCTCTTTCACGGGATTGTCGGACGTCTTATCTTTATTATCAGCGGATTCTTCCTTATCCGCATTCTTTTCCGGAGACGCTTCTATCTTCGGTACCACGGGCTTAACCTCTCTCTTTCCCATTCGAGAGCACAAAATATGTTGCACAACCATAGAATCCTCATCAGTGGTGTTCTATAAAAAAAAATATGCCAAAAAATCAAGTAAGGAAACTAGAGCAATCTTTATATATAAAATGTTAGCAAATCAAACGATATGTACAATGTATACAAAGTTAGGTTTGTTAGGTCCGACTTCGCCGCCCTCACCGCCCTCCTTCTTTGCGGCAGCAGGCTTTGAAGCGTTCGCCCCTTCCACCTTTTTCGATAGTTGAGAGTCTTGCAGAGGAACATCGTCATCGGAGAAACGTAACATTACATCATCCACATATTTCTTACGATGAGTATTTCTTGCAGAACGTCGCTTATTCATGTCGTCGCCTGCTTCCGGCGATGGTGGAGGTGTCGCCGCTAATTCCTCACCATCGGAATCTGGCGCAATGCGACTCTTACGTTTCCTGTGAAGAGTGACAATAGAGTTACAATTAATGATTTCTTGTAGGAGATTATGCGTTTAACTGCATATATGTATAAAAAGTGCTATTATTTACTTGGAACTTCTGGAAGATTTCCCTCCAGAGGCCTTGCTGGTACTCGATCGTTTTCTAGCCGCGGGTTTCTTCTTACTGCTACTCGTATTCTCAGTAGTCGCGGTAGTCGCTTCTGCATTTTCCTCTTTTTTGTCTTCCTCCGGAGCATCGTCCGCTGTCTTATCTTTACCCTCCTCCTTTACTTCGGTTAGAGGCTCATTGGTGGAAGAGTCTACCTGTTCCTGATCACCCTGTATGGACGATTCACAAATCTTCGTCTCCGCATCCTTAACAGCACTGGAATCCGAAACAGCACTTTCTTCGTTTTCCCGTGTAGCATCATCGTCAGCAGATTCGGGTTGTATAATTTTTCTATAAAAAAATAGTAATATTAAATATGTTATTTTATAATATACAAATAGTATATGTTTTCCATAGGGAATACTTACTTCCTATTACGTTTTGTGGAATCTTTGTCTTTATCCTTATTCCTCTTTCTTGCCACTTTCGGGGATTTTGGTTCCTTTGGTGGTTTTGGCTCCTTCTTAGGCTTTGGTTCTTTGGGCTCTTTAGGTTCCTTCGGCTTGCGCGGTTTCCGTGGCGAGCGTGATTTTCTGCCTTTATTCCAATCCTCCTCCATATCTCCAGAAGACGGCTTTATATCTTCCGAGTCTGCAACACTGTCTACAATATTGCTACTATCGCCTGGCGTGACTTTATTGTCCGACAAGGGCTGCTCGGGTTGTTGCTGAATGGCAGTAGTAGGCGCGGACGCCTCTTTGTCAGCTTTTTTCCTACTTTTCTTCGCTCGCTGTGTACCTTTGCTACGACCACGTCCAGTAGTACTGGAGACCTGTTTTGAGTAACAAATGGCAATATTTAATAGATACAACAGACGACTTTTAAATATATGTATACAAGAGATAGTACATGCACGAGATCTTTTTTATCAAATATCGTGAAAATAAAAAAAAAAAGGAGTAATATGGCTTTATTTCCTTGAGATTTCTTTACAATGCATGCATCACAAACAATACCCTACAAGTTATCATTCCATGTTAAAAAATATATAATCTAATTGAATAGATTTAAACAATAAGAATCTGTCAGACAAGTACGCAGAGTTTTGACTTATTTCAATTGTTATTGTATCAATTAGTACCCGTTACAGATACACTAATATGTTACTTTTAAATATAAAAAATTGAAACATTTATCTTACAGACTGTACATTTCGTTGTTTCTTTCAAAAATATTGGATGATTGCATAAGTTCGTGCCCGATTTTCATAGATGGCATTAAGTTACTGCATGGCGGAGTTCTATTGTTTTCGTGTGGTAATTGTTGCTTACACCGAATAGATGACGTTGTCTTATGTCAATTTAGCGTCAGACATTGTTCAGATAAGTCCATTTGTGCATAAGAGAAATCATTAAAAATGGAGAACGAAAAGGTGCATTTGCGGCATGTAATGTTATATGAATTTCGGAAAGGCGTGAGTGTTGGGATTGCACAAAAAAATATTCAAACCGTTTATTTGGACCGCGCTCCTGCTCTCCGAACAGTCAAAAAGTGGTTTGGCAGATTTCGAAATGGTGATTTCAACATGGAGGATCAACCCCGCTCTGGACGGCCTTCTGGCATTGATGATGACATTGTGCATGCCTTAGTGGAAAGAAACCCAAGGATTACAACTGAGGATATTGCTGAGAGGCTGAACATCGATAATTCAACCGCTTTTCGTCATTTAAAAAAGCTTGGATACGTTTCCAAGCTTGATACATGGGTGCCGCATCTCCTGACTGAAAGGAATAAGCTAAACCGTATGACTGTGGGTCTTTCTCTTCTCGAGCGTAACAAAAAAGAGCCTTTTTTAGATCGAATGGTAACAGGCGATGAAAAGTGGATTCTCTACAAAAACGTACAGCGAAAGAGGACATGGAAAACAGCAGCTGAAGGAGCAGAACCCGTAAGCAAAGGCTGGCTTGCATCCGATGAAGGTGTTGCTGTGTGTTTGGTGGGATCGCAAGGGAATTATTTACTTTGAGCTGCTCCGACGCGGCGAAACAATCACGGCGGACAAGTACTGTGAGCAACTAACTAGACTCGCTGCAGCTATTCTAGAAAAACGTCCGATTTTGGCCAATCGAAAAGGCGTCATCTTCCACCACGACAATGCTAGGCCACACGTCGCTCAACAGACGTTGCGAAAACTGCAGGAGTTGCAATGGGAAATTCTGCAGCACCTGCCATATTCTCCAGATATTGCGCCTTCAGATTTTTATCTGTTCCGGTCTTTGCAGAATAGTTTAAATGGCAAGAATCTCAATTTCGAGGAAGCTGTCGAAAACCACCTTACAAACTTTTTTCAAGAAAAACCAAGTTCTTTCTTCAAAAATGGAATCGACAAGCTTATAGATCGTTGGAAAACCATTGTAGAAAAGAATGGAGACTATATAATTGATTAATAAAAGTGTTATCTCTAAAATATAATCTATTGAAGTTTATATTTAAATCGGGCACGAACTTATGCAATCACCTGATACATATTCTTGTTGTGTATTATTCTATTATGTATATATACTTCACGAAATATACAAACTACAAAAATTTGTTTCTGCAAGAGCTCATTGTGCTCATTTATTTTTATCACTTTAAAAATTGTGAAACTTAAAAAAAAAATATTTAATCAACTTTTTCTAAGTTAATAATCAATCGATCAATTTCGCGTCACCTACCTGCGGACTATCGACTACAGCAGCTGTAAACATCGGCGTCTGGAGTATACATTGCGGACCACCATTACACTGGTCATTCGTCTCGTGTTGCTGCAACGCCTGTAACTTCTCTTGCAGGGCAACAATCTTTTCCTGATTTTCCGAAGCCGGAGGCATGCAGTACAGTTCTTGCAACTGCTGTTGCAGAGCAGCTCGTTCTTGATGATGCGTGAGAGGAGCGCAGGACGTGCCAAAGCCACCCGTCGTGACTGGGGTTTGTGTAGGATTAGCCGGCATGCTATATATGTTCGGTATTGTGTTGCCGGTGATCATGTCGCCTCCAGGATGATACTATCATTCGAAAACATTTATGATGTTAATATTCATCATGTTGTAATTGATTATGTATAGAATATTATATGACATCATATCATAATTATTATATCACAGATCTATATCATTATTATATATAATATTGATGATTGATATATTACTCTAAATTATATATTATTAGAATATTATATTTGAACATATCGCGAGATGAATACTTTAAATATATTTAATACCTGATGCGGTGTTTGCGAATTTGGCACGGGAACCGCGGCTTGATGCGGCGGCAAAACTATACTGGCGGTTTGACTAACCGCGGGTATCTGCTGTGCGTTCAAATGCGCGGCGGGTACTTGCTGAGCGTTTTGATTTTGCATCTGAGATGCCTGATTCTGCATCGGTGGTGGTTGCAGCTGTGGAGGCATCTGAGATGGTATGAGCGGCGCGCTCGGTGGTATCTGCATACCAACCTGCTGAGGTTGCATATGAGATGCCTGCGCCTGCGGAGGTGTCGTCGTCGTTGATTGAGCCTGTTGCGTGATGCACGTCGGACCTTGCTGAGCCGCCGATTGTGCCAACTGCGGTGGCTGCGTCTGTGCCAGTGATTGAGCTTGCGGTTGTCCCAATTGGGGTTGCGATTGCCCTCCCAATTTAAACATCGGCGTCTGGAGTATACATTGCGGACCACCATTACACTGGTCATTCGTCTCGTGTTGCTGCAACGCCTGTAACTTCTCTTGCAGGGCAACAATCTTTTCCTGATTTTCCGAAGCCGGAGGCATGCAGTACAGTTCTTGCAACTGCTGTTGCAGAGCAGCTCGTTCTTGATGATGCGTGAGAGGAGCGCAGGACGTGCCAAAGCCACCCGTCGTGACTGGGGTTTGTGTAGGATTAGCCGGCATGCTATATATGTTCGGTATTGTGTTGCCGGTGATCATGTCGCCTCCAGGATGATACTATCATTCGAAAACATTTATGATGTTAATATTCATCATGTTGTAATTGATTATGTATAGAATATTATATGACATCATATCATAATTATTATATCACAGATCTATATCATTATTATATATAATATTGATGATTGATATATTACTCTAAATTATATATTATTAGAATATTATATTTGAACATATCGCGAGATGAATACTTTAAATATATTTAATACCTGATGCGGTGTTTGCGAATTTGGCACGGGAACCGCGGCTTGATGCGGCGGCAAAACTATACTGGCGGTTTGACTAACCGCGGGTATCTGCTGTGCGTTCAAATGCGCGGCGGGTACTTGCTGAGCGTTTTGATTTTGCATCTGAGATGCCTGATTCTGCATCGGTGGTGGTTGCAGCTGTGGAGGCATCTGAGATGGTATGAGCGGCGCGCTCGGTGGTATCTGCATACCAACCTGCTGAGGTTGCATATGAGATGCCTGCGCCTGCGGAGGTGTCGTCGTCGTTGATTGAGCCTGTTGCGTGATGCACGTCGGACCTTGCTGAGCCGCCGATTGTGCCAACTGCGGTGGCTGCGTCTGTGCCAGTGATTGAGCTTGCGGTTGTCCCAATTGGGGTTGCGATTGCCCTCCCAATTGAGACTGTGCTTGTCCCAATTGTGGTTGCGGTTGTCCCAATTGGGATTGAGGCGTTGGCGAGATTTGTTGCGGCTGTGCTTGATTCAATATAGGTTGTTGAGGTTGAGGAATCTGCAATTGTTGAGCGGGTGCAATCTGTTGCAGTTGTTGTTGCGATTGAGACTGAGGTATTTGCTGCTGTGGTTGCTGCAGCTGCTGGTTCATCTGAGCAGGTTGCGGCTGAATCATCTGTGACTGTTGCGGCGATTGTAGCTGCGGCTGAGAAGGAGCTATCGTTGCCTGAGCTGGAACTATTTGTGACTGAGCCAAATGAAGCTGCTGTACCGCTGGCTGCTGCACTGATTGCTGCTGTATTGGTTGCTGCGGAGGACAATTAATAGATTGCTGCTGTCCTATAACTTGTTGCGGATGTGTCGTACTACTTAAGGGCGATTGATGTACTTCTACACCTTGTTCTTGAGATTTCGTTTCGCATACACTCTGATTCTCGATACTAGAAACAGGATTTTGGATTGGCGCAACTGTTTGTTGTTGCTGTTGTTGTAACGATGTAGTCACATTTGTGCATTCCATATTTCCGCTTGTACTAGATACTGGAAGAGACTGCACCGTTTCAATCGAAGATATATTCGATGGCGTAGGTATATTTCCTGCTGTAGATGTATGATCTAAAGTTAATTGGTTCTGCGAGCTATTTTGTGCCGAGGTATCTACTTGCGGTGGACCGAGTTGTGCAGCTGCATCTATTTGTGAACCCTGCTGAATGCTCTGATGCAAAGAAGACTCAGGTTCCGGTTGCTTCGGGGCTTCGATCGGGTTTTGCACGATGTTCTCCGTTGTCGTCGCCGGTTCTCTCGTTGTCGTTGTACTCGTCGTTGTCGCCGTTTCCGCAACATTATGTACAGCAGCCTCCGGTCCATTAACGGGAAACATCGGAGCATTCTGTTCAGATACTATCGGCATCTGCTGAGGCTCAACGACACCGCTTCTGTCCTCGTTGACGCCGATATTCGGCCTGATTTGTGTCTGCTGTTGCTGTTGTTGCTGCGGATGCGATTGCCATTGAGTGGGCATCGGCATTCTAGGCCCCGCGACTTGAGCCGGCATCGGACTCTGCGCCGTCGATTGTTGTGGCAGAACACTTGGTGTCTGCGACATCGGCGGACGCGTTTGAAATTGATTGTACTGATCCGAAGTGGGAACGCTAGAATTTGAAACAGCGACTCCCGGCATCACCATCTGTTCGAGAGCCTGTAGAGTAGTCTGTTGCTGCTGCGACGACGGGTTCATTTGCATAGACGTGGGTGGACACGGAGACACCGACATCGCGTTAGATTGATTGCCCTGCTGATGAGGAAGCTGAACGTGAGGATGTGGCGACAGTGTAGGTTTGGCGGGCGACATGATGGGTCGAGGAGACATCTGCTGCTGCACCGCGGGCGGACGCGGGGACATTTGCGGCCGTGGTGACATCTGCGGCGACAATTGCGGGAACGCGGCACGATACTGAGGACTCGTCGAGTGCTTAGCCGTCGCTGCCGCGCCGAATTGTTGCGGAGGCGGCGCCGAGTGCTGCGGTTGATTGAACATCGAAGTAGCATGATGAGGATATTGAGGATCCATCGTCGGTTGTTGTTGCGCGTTCGGATGCTGAGGGGGATGCTGAGGATATTGTTGAGGATGAGACGGATGCGGTTGATGTGTCGGATGCGTCGGATGATGATGCGGCATTCTCGCTTGAGGCGCCTGCTGAGCCTGTTGTTGCTGATGAATAGCCGAGGCGAAACCGGGATAGCCGGGAGACGTCTGATACATTGCTGCTACCGAATTACCTTGTTGATAATGCTGTTGTCCGACTATATGCTGGTAGACACCACTGGTCGCGCCGGCTTGCATCGATTGGTGCAAAACTCCCATGTTGCCTATCATTCCTTGTTGACTACTGAAATGCTGCTGCTGCTGCTGCTGTTGCTGCTGCTGCTGTTGTTGCTGCATCTTTTGATTCATAACGCCAGCTTGGTCTTGCTGATGAGAATACTGCGGTGGCATATGTTGTCTGTACGTGCTAGGCTGCGGAGCCATTTGATTGTAATGTCTCTGCATTTGCGGGTATCCGCTTCCGTTACCCGGCCAACCTTGCTGACTGGGGTCAATACTCATGTTGGCTCTAGCCATCGAGTGTTGTTGCTCCATAGAGTACATATTGTCATTGTAGCTAGGATACTGAGCGCCGCTACCTGGATGAGGCCCTCTGTGCTGTTGCGGTGCAATGTTGCGGGTCTGATTTTGAAAGGCGCCTGGCACCATAGCACGCTGAGGTGTGGTGCCACTATCGAACGTGCCGAGATTTTGGTTAAACATACTGCGCTGCGACGGATTTTGCAATTGATTCGAGCTACCAAATTCAGATCCGCCGAATGAGGTTAATTTCTGTATCGGAGATTCTTGAGAAATGTTATAAGATTGATTAATGTAACTCCCTCCTCCATTAGGGCCAGAATTCAGACCGTCCCTGGACACCGCTACGGGATTATTCGCAGGCGCAGGATCGAAATGATCGTTCCCTCCGAGATCAGGAAGAGCCTCGAGCATCGAGCCACTGACATCTTCACCAAACAGATCGTAGTCCATGTCTACGCTGAAGGACTCTTCGTCCCCATTTCAGGTTTATGAGAATATTGTACGATCTCTTCTATAGCCAGTAACGTGCCCATGGTAAATACAAACTCTTGCTGCCTGAAATAATCAGAATTTTATATTTTACTTTACTTTTCCGGATAAGTTTTCGCGGTAATACATTAAGAATTCTTAGTGATTCTCTTCGTTGAAATGACATACGCCGAAGGGGAAAAGCTATACGCTTATGGTTAAATTTCTCATAATCGCCATAACTTTTCCCCCTCGGAATACATCTCAGGTTGCAACAATCCGTTATATATTTTTATATAAAAATCTTAAAATTATATATACAATATCCTATATGCATTAAAAACACATGCTACTACTAGAAAGATTTTCTAGAAAATTCTAGAAAGAGATATTAAACGAAAAATTAAGGGAAAAAAATCGATGTGCAAATGTATAAAAGCATATAAATAAAAGTAATCACAATATATTACATCATAATTGAGGCATAATAATTGAATGTATGTCATCTTTTATATGAGATATTTTGTAACGTCATTAGATTTTGATAGACACAAATATAATATAATTTCAAAGAAGATCACGAATGAAATATTCAAATTTTTCAGAAAAGAAAAGAGGGCTACGGTTTCTACCGGTTATAAGATTGCGATTTATCTTGCTGTTTCTCGAGCGATTCTCGAGCCTTATCTGATCCCGAGAGCCAAAACAGCCGACTTTGTAAAATGTCGTTCTACTTCTTTCATTCTTGTTTCACTCTCATTCTCGACCCGAACAATTTTCTGGAAGGTAAACAAGTTCCGATTATAAGATCACAGCCAATCCCGAGGAATAATCAAATCGGAAAACACTGTATTAATCTTTCCGCGAAGTCAAATGAAGAGAAAAAGAAAATACACGACGAACATAACGAGAAATGCTACTTTTATATTGTTGAACGCATTTAGTCAAGTTAACAACTTTTTTTTCTCAATGTACATATTCTTTTTCTCGGTATAAAGTTCAATGAACAACGCATATTATCGCATCGCGTGGTTAATACATATATATTTACAAAAATTATCGGATAAACTATTGAAGCCTGTTTCACGTATGACTCAATAATGATTATACTGTAATGATAATTACTACAATGTCTCTCAACGTCACGCGGAAATTTCTGACAAGTTCTTATATATTGGCTGATTTCTATGAAGAAAAGATTAGGATCTAAAACGTGACATCTAGAGAAATATCATATCACGGTGATGATGAACTGTTACCGAAACAATACTAATACACACACACATACACACGCGCGCGCGCGCAGATCATTATTACGAACACTATCGTGACTTTCTCGCGTACAACAATATGGCATTGCTCCGTTTCATAAATAAACGTTCCGTTGGAACATGACACTGACGAAAATCGGCGCGATATCGCCGATTGATATACATATACAATATCGAAGAAGCGAATACGAGAGAGAAAGGGGGAGAGGAAGAAAAAGAGAGAGGTATAAGAGATGAAACAAAAAATTGGAGCATCGTACAAACCAGATACACACTGACAAATACAGAGCAACGCACGATAGAGAAAGAAAAAGAGAGAGTGAGAGATAGATAGATAGATAGAGAGAGAGAGAGAGAGAGAAAGAGGAGAATGTTCTCGTGTCTCGGCGGAAAACGAACAAAAATACACTCACTCGGTGTATATGCGTGCGAGAGCGAGACAGACGAAGCGAACGGTCGAAACTGCACCGAACGAACGGCGGTAAAAAAAAAAAAAAAAAAAAAAAGGAGGCTCTGTGCTTTCTCTCTCTCTCTCTCTCTCTCTTTCTCCCTCACCGCGGCGGTTCACGCTCGGTTGTATTTCATCGTCGCGTCTTTAGAACCGTAAAAGTGGGAAGCGGCTCGATCGTAGGGTTATGGCATACGCTAAAATCGGCGTCGTCCACGAATTTCTCACAGAGAGACGAGCGTCCTTGGATCATTCACGCCGTTCACGATAACGATGACGACGAGGACGCAACGACAATGACGACGAGAGAGAGAGAAAGAGAGAGAGAGAGAGAGAGGAAGGAAGAGAGAAGAGAGAGAGAGAGAGAGAGAGAGAAAGGAAGAGAGGTAGAGCGCGACGCGGAGAGAGAGAAAGAGAGATAGATTTCCGTTCTGGGGCCACCGCGAGAGAGAATTCGTCGTTATCGCGCGGCCACCGCGACGCTCGATATTCCGACATCGGGTGGCAGCGCGTCACTCCGCGTCGCACTGTCTCTGTCCGCACAGAGCACTGTTTCCAGCAGTGGCCAGCCAGCCAGCCAGCCAGCCAGCCAGCCAAGCAGGCAGATGAGTGAGTGAGTGAGTGAGTGAGAGAGAGAGAGAGGGACAGTGCACTGCCGCTTCGCTCCCGTCTATGTCGTCTCGCGGCTAAGGAACGACGCTCCCGCTCAGGATCTCGGTACGGAAAAACCACCCTCGTACGCACCACACGATTTTTACTGACGACGACGGCGGCGGCGGCGACTGCGAGCGTGTGTCCGCGTAGACTCCAATCATTCCACATATCTATATGCATACATACGTATACCTCTCTTTCTCTCTCTCTCTCTCTTTCTCTTTTGCTCGCTCATTAAGTCTCACACAAATGATTCGCTCGCTCGCTCGCTCGCTTCGTCTCCCTCCCCACCACTCGCGGAGGTCCGTCTTCGCTTACCCTGTCCTGTCCCGTTCCAACACGGAGGAGGAGGCCAGAGCACCACCACTACTATGTTATCACTACTATATATATATCACTCTGTTCTTTTCGCGCACGTAAATGTACTCGTTTCCCGGAGTGTTGTCGCCGGTGTGTTACGGCCGAGAGAGCGAGCACCTCTATCGCAGAGGAAGGCACACGCGCGGCAGCGGCGGCAGGAGCACACCGCTCTCGCTCGACGCACCACCTGGCGGCGGGCGCATCTCCCGACCTCCCCCCTCTCTCCCCTCTTTCTCGCGCGCGCGCGGGCGCCCGCTCCGCGTTGCCGTGTCAGATGTATACGTTTGCGGGCCGGCTTGTCCCATGCACACGTGTATGTGTATATTGTGTACGTACGTATAGGCGCGCGCGGGCGCTTTCGGAAGGTGCACGGCAGCCCGAGGAGCGTAACTCGCTCGTAAATTGTTAGGTCTATCCGTTTTACCTGTATTTTCCCGCACTCAAAACGAGATGAATATATCCGGGCTCCTCCCCTCTTCGAGAAAGAGAGGGAAAATATAGGAAGCGTAGGTAGATAAAACGAATGGATCTAACAGGCCCGTTACAGATCCGCTCCGTCTTACCTGCTCCTTCCTTTGACGCTTATTGCGGTGAATTTAACAATGAAGTGTATATATATACACTTGGGATTTGGAAAGAATAAAAATTCGAGAAAGGAAACAGAGCCAACTTTCCATACCTTTTGTTTCTTTCCATTGTCAAATTTTCTCTCGACATTCCTATCTTTTTTTTCGTCATCTTGTATACAGATACACATACATATGTGCATATATGGCGTGTCTGATTATATGTTTATTGCTTATGTCCGATTTTAAATACGAAGGGAAAGTGTAATAAAATAAGAACAGGCCTGCTGTGTCCCTTCCCTTTATCGCCGATCGCGTTTTCCGCAAACGTGTTAATCGCCCACGAACACTGACAATACCTAGATGCATGCGGAGATGACGAAAAAGAAAGTCTGCCTATCTTCACATGTATTCGAATTATAGTCTATCAAAGAGACGATCGCATATTGAAAATTGTCTCTCGCGCCAAATATTTATCTCATTTCTCGTCACTTGGAGCTAACTTCAATTACATAAAGTTCCCTATAATTATATCAATTGGAGTGAAAATCACGCATAAACACAATGTCATATGATTAGCTGTCAAATAGAAAAAATTTCAGAGACGATCGCATATTGAAAATCGTCCCTGGCGCCCAATATGTACCTCATTCGTCACTTGGAGCTAACTTCAATTACATAAAGTTCCCTATAGCTATAACAATTGGAATAAAAATCACACATAAACGCAATGTCATATGATTAGCTATCAAATAAAAAAATTTTCAGAGACGATCGCATATTGAAAATCGTCTCTTGCGTCCAATATATACCTCATTCCTCGTCACTTGGAGCTAACTTCAATTACATAAAGTTCCCTATAGCTATATCAATTAGAGTAAAAATCACGCGTAAACAATGTCAAACAATTAGCTGTCAAATAGAAAAATTTTCAGCGTTTCAAAAATTCTTTATTCAATAGCAAATTGCGTGACATTGTGTCCATCTGTTTTTTTTTTTTTTTTTTTTTGTTCCTGAAAAGTTTCCATTACTACCAAAAAGACCCAAACAAACGAGAGTGCAGTTTTTACTCTAGCTCGACTGAAGTTTGAAACAAAATGTGATAAATAAAATGAAACAATCGTATAATAATGAAGTTTGTCATTATCGTGATTATATCAATGGAAAATTCTAATTATAACACGTTGCTTAGCGGAAATGTGAATAAAAATAGAACGAGACTTGCAAACACTTGCGCGAACTCTCTTTATGACGGATAAATTTACGTGCACACCATATATGTGTGTTGTGTACGTATCATGTACTATGTATCTGGTGTACGAAGTCGTGCGAATTTAGTGAAAGGATAGTCGGTAACGGTGCGAGAAAGAGATAAAGAGAGAGAAGATGAAGAAGAAAAAAAAAAGAAGAAGACAGAGAAAGACGGCGAGAAGAACGGACGCGAATCACACTGGCAACCTATCGAGTATTCAATATCGCGGTAAAGGCGCACCGCGCAATTGGTAGCGGCAAGACAGGAGTCGAAATTACGCGAGAAAGAGGACCAATCAGATTTTAGCTTACATAAAGTCCGGATAGCCGCGCGTAGGATATTCGATTAACCAATCGTATTCCGCAGGTATCGATTCGAATACATCTCTCGATGTGTGCCTGACGCTCAAATGGCAGCCGTATGTGACGGACGAATGCAGAGGGATCATATATATATGTATACACACATGTATATACGACGCGATTTCAAATCCCTCGTCCCATAACGGTCCCAAATTCGACAATTGCTTTCAAGAGGCCTCATATATCTCCCGGTGTTTAAAAGAGAAAGCAGCGTCATTTTCGGAGGGAAACGAGCAATTTTTCGTTGTGCTAAACATTCTTAATTAAAAAAATATTCTATCTTTCTCTCAACTGCAAAGAGATATATTACATATGTAAAAAAAAACCTGTCCTCGAAAATCCACGAGGAATTGTCGCTTATAAACCGACTTGAAGAAGTCTTTCAAAGAGACATGCAATAAAAATTTGATTGATTCATGTATAAAAATAATGGATTCATAAGAATCTTATATATAAATAGATGTGCATTTTGCATATTAATATATCTCATTTAAGATAATCGTTGTTATTACAATTGTGCAGAATCGCTCTTAAAAAAGCAAGCAATATCACTTATTCGCACTGTTTGTGTGCAACACGAAAAGGTCGGTAATTTGTCAAATTTGCGCGAAAATAAATTTTGCTACAGCTAAAAGAAAAAAATGAATAAAATTTGACTATTGTAACTCTGTAAGAGATGACATAAATGACGTAGAAGCGTCGAATGCAGGTGGATGACCTCTGTTAAACAAAATAAACAAATCGATTGTGCATGTCCGATCGTCTGTCAAGGGACGAGTCTCGAAAGGTCTGTTCTTCTTGGTGTTTGCATCGTGTTAAACTTCGCGAAATGAAGCGAATGCATATGCATATCTAGAAGGAATAAGGTTATACATAGATTGATAGAATTCGACCGATACATTATTAAGAAAAAAAAAAAAAAAAAAAAAAAAAAAAATGCTGACTCCAAAAGAACAGACCTGATTCATCGGAGATGGATGAATCGCGCGACCGAATCGACGATTTATTCCCGATAAATGATCGATAGAAGGACTCACAATTGTACGAACGGCGATCCCATCTCCCTTTTCCGAGGTCCATCTAAAGAAAACCGAGAGAAAAAAAACAGGTAGATGCGAGGAAGGGGAGGGGGAGGAGGAGAAGCAGTGACGGAGAGAACGAGAGGGAGGCTACTACACGAATGTTCGCTCAATCGTTATCTCGGTGTCCATTTTGTTTGGTTTAATTACTGAAGAGACGTCGGTGGTAGTGATGATGATGATGGTGGTGGTGGTGATGGTGCTGCTGCCGTGGGTTACGTTGACACAACACGACGACAGCCCTTCGATAGGTAGCTGCTGTTTTGCTTACTGCCTCCGTGCAGGATCGGCAGACATCGAGAAACGATTACACATGCACAGAGAATCACATACACAGAGATAGGGAGGGAGGGAGAGAGAGAGAGATAGAGAGAGAGCACACACGAAAGAGAATCGTTGACGCATAAAAAAAAATGCGCGAATTAAATGAACGAACGACGTTGCGAGACACTTTCTTCGCGACGACACGCACTTTCCATAAACATCTCGCGCTATCTCTCGTATCAATCGGTCCGATCTGACGGTAACCTAGTTCCTATGTAGAGAGACAGACAACGATGGTATCCCGTGCCCTGTGCCACCACGATCGTTTTTTCCCATTCACTCCGATTTCGCGTGCGTTCGTACGTAATGTACAATAACGTCGTGTCGTTCACCAGAAGCTTTCGCGCACTCTTCACTCTTCGCTGCCACTTTCCGTACGTCCATCCGTTCGACGACACACACGCGCGATGATGATCACCGTCGTCGTCGTCGTCGTCGTCGTCGATCGTCCCGTCGTCGTCGTCGTTGTCGCCGGGCGACACCAGTGCCGCTGACTCTGTCGTGAAAAATGGCGTGAAAATTACGACCCCCTCGCCGGATCTCTCGCGCGTCATTAATGGCCGCTCGCTCGCTTGTCCATCTCTGTGATTGGTCTTTCCAATGGAAACGGATATGTCGCGCGTTTTTCTGGAAAATTACAATTCTCATTTGGCGCGACCGATATTTTTTTATATGACAGAAGAAAAAACTGATTCTTCGAGATCGATCAAAAATGGATTATGAGAGAGAGAGAGAGAGAGAGAGAGAGAGAGAGAGAGAGCGAGAAATAAGTGTGTGTGTGTGTGTGTATATATAGACACACACACACACACACACTTTTTTAGAATCATAAACAGCGCAAGTTTTATGCACAAATTTTTAATAAATACAAAAATATATTTAGTAAAATAAATTTGTTATAAATTATAAAGTTGACAAATTTACAGAAAAACTGGATAAGATATATAAGAATGCATTTGTTGTATTCTATATAACATTTAAACAATTTTAGTTTTTTTGCTTTACTTTTACACTTACTTTTCTTGTAGCTTACTAATTTACAGTTAATTGAATCACATATCAATTTGAGTGTATTGTCATTTACATCAATACAAATTTATTTGTACTTAGAGATATTTGCAGGGTTTGGTAGTAACTAGTTAAAAAGTTAAAAGTTAAGTTAAAAGGTTGAAAAGTTAATAACTTTTAATTTAACTTAGTTAATTTTGAACGTGTTAACTTTTTACTTAAACTAATTATTTTTACATGCATTAACGTTAACTTAATTTTTTTTATACAAGTTAAAATTTTGTATTTTTGAAAGTCGGAAATTATCTATTTGTTAATAATTATAATAACATAAGACTAGTACCATTAAAACGTGTGTTCGTAAAATACAATACAACGATACCATCCTCGGCGCACGTAGAGCGTATGTTTAATGCAGGTGGTTTAGTATATGCGATGACTTAAGAGAAAAAATGACAGATTATAATTTTGAGATGACACTTTTATTAAAATTTAATAAATATTTTAAAATTGTTTTAATTTATTGTTAGAGTATCTACCTAACTATCTAACTTTAAACTTTTAACTTATTGTTAGTTAAAAGAAAAAGAAAAACTTATCCAATCCTGGATATTTGTGGCTTGATACTAATATTTACAATACAAATCTTGTATTTATATGATATTTTAATTTCATACTTTTGAACTCTTTTTTTGAGTCTGTTTTGTACATTGAATTCTCAGTATCCTACATTAAATCCTACCATCAATAATAGTCTATTATTCTCTTAATAGCTACATGTGGGTACTCTTGTCGCAACTTCTTGATGTAGAAATTATTGATGTTGTCACAAAAACTGAGATCCATCAATTCCAATTTGGGGCAACTTGACAAAATATCATAACATATCTCTGGTGTCAGAAATAGCGCGCCTAATAAGTCCAATTGTTTTAAGTGTTTACATTGTGTCAGTCCTTTCAAATCGCGATCTGTGAGTCCACGAAAAGTGGCCAAAAAGATCTTCTCCAAGAGTTGACAAGAAGAGAACAATTTAACCAAGGTTTCACCATGACCAGATGTGCTACCACTATATAAGAGAAACGAAAACTACATTATTATAGCCTCTTATAAAGAAATAATGCAGTTTTCAAGTGCATGCAAGAAAAATTTTAATAAAGAATTTGGTAATAATTGTCTGAGAAATTATAATACACACCACCAACTGAAATCCACTTCTCGTAGATTCTTACAAGCAGCCAGAGCATTAATACCTTGCGATGTAAGAGTCTGTGCCTTCCAAAAATCTATACTTTCCAAATCCGGACACGATCTTCCCAATTCCATTGCGATTACGTCTATATTTATATTGTCTTGAAACGTTCCTGCTATATTTAAATGACGCAACCATCGATTCTTCTGCAGTATTTTACATAAAGTATCAGTTTTTATAAATGTTCTGTAAAGATCTAAACGCTCCAGAAATTCAAGGTTCTCGAGATACTCGAAACCCCAATCTTGTATGCCCTGACAATTGCGTAAGCATAATTCTAAAAAAAAAAAAAAAAAGAAATATGTGTATATATATATATATATATTGTATATTTCTTATCTGTATTAATTATTTGGCTGTATAATCACGGCAATCACATTTATATACATACCTTTCAAATTTTTACATGTTATCGATATTTGGTAAATGGTAGAATCGTCAACAGTTTTGCAACAGTTTAATCGTAAATGCGTTAGAAGACTGCCACAATCACTAAGAAATATTTTAATACATGTAGTAGAAAACATATCATGGTTACCACACCACGAAAGATCCAATTTTTGTAAATATTTACATCTAAGCAATAAGTTATCCAATGTACATGTATTAAAAGAATGCCAATATGGTTTTAAGTTTAAACTTGTATAGAGTAAAGGATCTAGTGCCAAGTTATAGAAGTACTTATTTACTCTGGACATGCGATATAGCGATCTCAAATCTAAATTTTTCAATATTTTTAACATTGTTTCAATCTGCAAAAAAAAATTGTAAAACCTTATTGAATGAGATAAACAATTAATGAATATCATAAACAATAAGTATTAGTTGCTTTCCATTTACATCAAAACTCAGATAATTCTCACTTGCGTTCTCTCTCACTCGCATGTATGCTACGTGCGAGCGAGAGAGAACGCAAGTGAGAATTATCTGAGTTTTGATGTAAATGGAAAGCAACTATTACTATACAAAGGAGATTAAGAAAAAGACTTTACAGAAAGCATAGAAAAATTGCCACATAATTCCTTGGGTTCATTTGAAGAAGCTTCAATATTATTCGTAAATCTTGGTAAATCTTTTATTAAAAATTGTTGCATCTTATTTAATCCTTCTTCAATAGGTGGTACAGAATGATAAAGTTGTTCCAAGCCAAATATTAGAATGCTCTTAAGATTGTCAATTATATTACTGCAAATAAATATTTTAAAATAAATTTGCTTTCATTATTACATAAATAAAAGAATTTAATATCACATAATATCAACAATTATAATACCTTTCATACGTAGTATAATATTCATCCAATATTGCTTTCAGATTCTTTATGCTCTCTTGTGTATTTTCATAATGTGGTGTTAAATTATCATTTGGAATATTGTTGAAACTATGACCATAAATTGTATCTTGTAGTATATCAGATAAGCTCTGTTTGTTTGATGGATCTTTGGGAAACATCATTTTTGATGTACCAATAAGCGACACAGCATCCAATTCTGTGTAATAGTCCAGTAAGCTATGGTTAAATTCTAGCCTTAACATTTTGGTTTTGAAATTACACAATCGTAAAGGCGGAGAGAATAATCGTGATTGCTGGGTTACAATTTGAGGTGGTCTGCTCCATAATTGAAACCATTGGCCATAACAATCTTGTGCCCAGATAGCAATTACACTTCCAGGATTATATAATTCATATATAGAAACTCTAATTGGATATACTGGCTCACGATATTCAATATCTTCAAGTCCCATATAAAATAACAAAATAATTATAATCTTGCCAATATATAAATATATCTTTTTTCCTTTTACTATTATCATTAAATATATTTTGTATACCAATATAATCTTGGCTCACAACATCTGGATTATTCTGTGGCATATAATCAATTGATCTTGAAGGTGCTTTATCCCACCATAATCCATAAGTTCTCTACATGAAAAAATAAATTTATTAAGTCTCAAATACTATGAATCTTATTAAGATTATAATATTAGTTGCACACACATACATACATACACAATTATTTTGCCAGGATAATAAAAGTTAAAATCAGGAAATACATACCATGGCAAATGCCTGTGGAAAATCTCCGTACTCTGGAAACTTGCTAGGTGGTCCAATTATATTATGAGCAGTATAAGATATACTGATATTATTGCCATATTGAGAACTAAAGCTATAAACATTATATACAAACTGCTCTGTGACATCGAACTTTGATCCATTGAGTTCTTTCTTTGATATTTCTCTATTTTTATCATAATGAGACATCATGTCTCAAGATATTAATTTTATAATAATAATATTAAAAATATATATAATGTTATTATATATACCAGTTACATAATTATATTGCAATTATACAATTATATTATATAATTGTATATATGATATATAACGCTCAGGTTTTATAAAAAAACACAATGTGTGTTGTGTTTTCTACTATAAAGAAACACGATAAACTTAATCCAAATATGATATATATAGACTGTTTGATATCTCATGCCCACGAGATATGTATATACAATACATACAAATTACGTTTTTAAAGGGCCGTCTATTAATGAAGGTAATAATAAAATGACAAATTTTATTGGCTAAGTCATGTTATTACTATTTTCTCACTAAATGTCAGCGCCAATGATAAGCATCCGCTTGGACAATCATCATATGACGTATTGGATTGCACGTTTTCGACCACGTGATCAATCTTGACAGACGACAGACTCGCGCTGAGCACTTGTAAGTGTCTAACTTCAGGTGAGAAGATATATACATGCGGCCTCTCTGATATATCTTTGACCTGAAGGTCTGCTAGTAAACATAACATAACTTTAGAGGCAATATAGATAAATTTCGTATTCTAAAAGGAATATATTAATTAATCTTAGTGTTATTAGGTGTATATAATTAGGCTCACAATGGTAAGTTTTTGGCTTATTACTGACGTCTTATTTGCTTGACAAATACTCCATGTTCCCGAGCCAGCTAACCTTCGAAGGCACTTCTGTCGTTTTCGTTGCAGGATGTATTTTTAATGATCAGGCGAAAGAAAATGACAATATTTACCGACGCGAAAGATGACACCACAGTTCTCGAGCTTAAGAAAATGATTGAAGGTAAGGCATGTTTAAAAAAGAAAAAAAAAATACGTGAGAATATAACGATGAATCATTCGTCGATATATTGCATGCTCTTATGTTATTTCGTTAACACGATTACTTTTGATATAATGAGATTAACTCAAGCTATTGGTTTTTTTTCTTTTGCTGTTACAGGTATACTAAAAGTACCACCGGCAAATCAACAATTATTTAATAAAGATTATCTTCCAATGTCTGATAACAAGGCATTACAAGATTACGGATTGACATCGTTAACTGCAAAGGCACAATGTCCTGCATTAGTCGGTTTAGCTTTACGTCAATCAGATGGTCAATTTGAACCTTTGGAAATGACACCGTTTTCATTACCGCCGGATCTCCCCGATGTTATGAAATCCCAAGAAAATAATGGACAGGAGCAATCTCCTTGAAATAATGCGTATGACATTGCACCAATTGACGATGAAGTTTTGTGTTCTATACAACTTAGTAATCGTCAGGGCAGCTCTGAATGGTAAAACGAGAGAAAATCTTATGTACCATGTACTATGTGAATATTAGAATGTGAATATCATGGTGTCAAGAGAGAGCACCATATGAATATTAGATACGTACAATTTTATACAGATGTTCAGAGCGGCAAAATTTTTTAATATTTAATCTAATGAGGATGCAATGTAGTCACACAATCTTCAGTTTTGTAATGACATGTGGCAAGTACTAATTTGTACTTGATTATTAGACTGAAGGTGATAATAAAACTAAAAAAGAATCATGCTCACACTCTACAACGTGCGTTAAACCAAATTTATATAGATATGAAATTATACATAAGTGTTTTGTTATAATCAGAATGCGAGAATAAATACCTCAGCTTATATTTAATTTACAGACATATAGCTTAAATACTTTAAAATAATTTTTAATATCTTTAAAAACGAATATTATATATTTTCATTCATCTACGCTTTATTTAACTGGCTATATATATATATATATATATATATCTCCTTGTATCACAGGGAAAACTAAAATAAATTCAGTTTCATAAGATAATAAATAATGTGTATAAACAGTTTTTTATTTAACATGCAAAAAGTTATTTATGATATTTTTAAAATTATTATTATTATAATCGGAAGGCATAATGACATAAGGCTGATTGGATCTGAGTTGACATAAGGTATACAATTATTATAAATGTAAAATATAATGCTCCAATGAATGTGTTTTTAATTCTATAATATTGTATATCTTATTAGAACTGTTATGTAACTTATATTTAGTTTTATAATTATTAGCCACACAATTATATAACTATATGTTACATAAGATATGTAACAATGCAAATATCACGCTAAGCAGCAGTAAAAAAAAAAAAAAAAATATATTGTACATGATTACATACGTTTATATTCAATATTCAAAAAATTCTCCTGTGCATGTTCACATTTATCCACTAATCATGTATATTTACACATTCAAAATTCGTTCACACAACTGAATCGTATACTATCAGCAAAATAATTATGAATTTAATAATAAAATTATTAATTGCTTATAGATTTTTATTTGCTAGCATTTCCATTATAAAATCCCTGTAGATATCTTTCTTACTTGGTACATAATGGCCACCTCCGTGCCGTATCTCTTTCTTGTTTGGAAAAAGACAACTAATATGTTCTGTCATTGCTACAATAAATGATCAAATTAATATGATATTTAATATAATTTTTATTCAATACTATAACTAAATTATATTAAATTGTAATTTCATACCTGTTGGAATGACTTGATCATTCTCTCCATAAATATGTAAGGAAGGTACATTTATCTTTTCATCATAATATTTTGCATGAGGTGCACATAGTGACTTAAATCCAGATATCATAATAGCAAAATTAAATTCAATCTGTAATACTATGAAAAGATAAACAATCATATATACATATATATATATCTTTTTTTAATTTTTACTGTGTATTATTTTCCTTACTTTTTCTCTTCATAGCACATAGTATACTGACAAAAGCAGCTCCTTGTGAGAAACCTAATATACCATCAAAGGGACCCTGTTCTGTGAATATCTTTTCTATCAAAGCTATACTCTCATCAAATCCTACACATAATTCACTAGGTACTGTTGCTTTAAATACATGATCCTCTGTGTTAAACCACCATCCGTACCCTGTAATTCATATACATATAGATATTGCTAGCACTTATTAAATGATATATAAATAATAATATTAAAAGTTTTGCAATTGATTGTATTTAAACACTTTTTACGTAACTCACACCATTTTCATCTATATTCTCTTCATTATTTGATGGAACTTTATGTGGTGCTCTTATAAATGTAAAATCTATTTCTTTTTTAAATCCCTTCCTTAACGATCCCAACTTGGCGCTAAAGATTACATCAGATTGCATATATCCATGTAATGCTAATATCTAAAAAATAAAAAAAGTATAAATATTCTACAATATATATATA